CCAATGGTTAATTTCCTTCATGCTTAAAAGATTCCCTCTTTTTTTAAAACTTGAATATGAATTTGTCTAACTACAGCTCTCAGCCTTGGAAATATATTTCTTTACTTGCTAGCTTAAAAGGAGCTTTTCTGAGAGAAATCCACTTTGTATAATTCAAAAATCATCGAGTCTTCTCTTCCCACCTCTCATCTAAACCAAAGAAGTAGGTTCCTTCATTTTGTTACTTTTAAGCAAATTTTTCAGACCTTGAGTTATTTTTCTGGGTTTCCTTTAACCACTCTGTCATTATCCATGTTGCTTCTACAATGAGGAGCTAGGACTGCAGGCAGTGCTACAACAGTGCTGTTAATATTTAATATAATATCAATTCCTCCATCCTATTCCTGTATGAGGTATAAGAGCCCCTGGTTTCCAAAACACAATCTGGTAGTCTGTGATTTATTCAGGGCAGCAGTGAATAAGCCAGCACGGAGCTCAGTGATGCTGCAGATAGATGGTTTCAAGCTGCTGGAAGATCTCTTTAAAGCTCTCTCAGGTGTCTTTTTGCTACTCTGCATCTGGTATGATGCAGCAGAGTTATTTCTTTTTATGGCTCAGTATTGCTATTTTATCTGACAGCGGTACCATGCTTTGTTGACAGACCTGCCATCATATAGTTTGTCACTAATTATACTGGTGTTTTAAATGTTTGCCTGTAAAGCAAAAGAGGAAATGCCACCACTCACCTTGGCAAATTGACTCTGGTCTTAATAGTGTTACTGTCATCAGTTGCCTCTCGGTTCAAATCCTTCAGATGTCTCATGAAGTTGGGTGCATGCATCTGAGCTGAATCTATGCCACGGCTGAAGTGGTACCTCAGAGTTTTACAAACTATGCTTTTGCCTCATTTTACAATACTATTGAATCACATTCTCTGTATGGTTCTCTACAATTTCTGGATCCAGGGCAATGGTACCACAGAGGAGCCATTTGTTTCTCGTCCTGTGTTCATGCTGTTGTCTGGTCAGTCTCTTGTCACTGTAGTTCTGTACTTCTCTTTCAACCTATTTTTTCATTCCATTTCACCAATTCATAAACCATTTTGAATTCTCTTCCTGTCCTCCAATTGCCTCGCTGTCCCTCTCACCTTGGCAGCATCCGCAGAGCCAGTAAGAATCATTTTCAGTCCATCAGCCCCAAATTAATGAAAACAAGGAATATGACTGGATATAGAACATAAAGCTCTGCAGAGACATCTTAGAGGTTTCTTGCCCGTTTTACACTATTACTATTCAGAATTTGATTTTCCAGCATTGTACTTACAGAGTATTAGATTAATCCAGACCATATTTCCTTAGCCTGAACGGTAGTGTGAAAGGCTTACTAAGGTCAACAGAATGCCTGCCACTTCATCCCTATCCACAGCATCTGTTATCCTGTTACAGAAGAACATCAGAATGATTTCACACAGCTTGTTCTTGACAAGCCCATGCTGCCTGCTACTCATCTCCTTGTTATTTTCTGCTGCTTTTAGATAATGTCTGTAGGAAAATAGTTTCCCAAGAATAAAAGTTTATATGACTGCTGTGCAGGTCACTGTTTTTTATCCCTTTCCTCCTCCATCTCTCTTGCATTTCATCTTCGAAAGGATACCCAGTATCTTTTCTCCATCATTCCTAAATAACCTATCAACACTTCAAGTGTCTCTTCAAGTTTGCCCTCCTTGTTGGCCAAACTTTCTGAGTCAGTGTTCATCATAAAAAGTTTATCTCACCTTTCTTTCCTTTCACCCCATTGGTGATCTTCTATTTCCTGCCATTCCCTCTATTGTACATCTCTCACGTTTTAGTGTTGGGCTTTCTCTGTGTGGCTCCTGCAATAGATAACAGGTTTTCCCTTTATTTCTTGGGCTCTTCAGTTCGTTTCATATCTGCCATTCAAATTCAGTTTCTTGTCTTATTGCCTTTTAGTTTTCCTTTCTTTCTCATCTTCTGTGGGCTGAGTGAGTACTTTCTTTTAGACCATTTGCATGATCTTTAAGGTACAGTTGCCCTCTGATTTCTACCACATGCTATTTGCTGTGTTGCATTATTTAATTCTCTAAAAGGTTTCAGGTAGAGTGGTTCGTGTGTACGACACACTGCAAAGCTGTGTTGTGTAGCCTCCATGTGCATTTTCCTTCTATTTACTCCCTTTGCTTACTGCTTTGGGAAACAGCCTTTTTCACTCCATTATTTCCAGAGTCATGGATGCGTGAAGGTGGTGCTCTGGGGAATGGCAGAGGTGTGAGAATTGCTGAATCACTCGTGCCCTGACATCCCCACTGAACGCTGCAGTGGTACACAGCAGGACTTGGTGCGCTGGTGGTGGCTATTACAGGGTACAGTACCTACTGGTGCATGATTCTGGTAGGGTTCCAGTACTCAGACACTCATAAACTCCTTAAAACTAAGAAAACATAACCATGTGCTAGATCTGATGTTTGCAATGTGTGGGCGTATGTGCACAAAGAGTTATGCAATTAGTCCTTCAGAGAATTACAGAATGCTTGTAAGGTTGTAAGGGACCTTAAATATTGTCTAGTCCAACCCCCCTGCTATGGGTAGGGATGTGTTCCTTGTCAGATTTATTCAAAAAACCATCTATTTGGTTTTTATATAGCTTCTCGTTAATCAGCAATATATAGGCAGTATTGATGTACATTCTTAATAAATACATACTGCAGCAAAAATTCACCATGATCAATGCTTTTTTTTTTTTCTCCCCCCTAAATTTTAGTGATGTGCCTATAAATGTCCAGACATTCCTTGCCTGCCACAGCGTGACCCAGTGGAATTAGTAGAAGACTTTCCATTGATTGGCATTGGATTTGTACAGGTCCATGTAAAGCATTTAACCTCAGACTACGGGTCAGTGATAGAAATGTAGGAATCTGAGAATACATATTCCCTGCTCTGATAGAAAGGAACAGAAGAAAGATACCCAGAACTACAGAGACATCAGCTACCCCACAAGGTAGTGGCTTGCAAGCACTTCCCTCTTATCTTTTGGCTCAGGGACGGTATGTGTGCACTCTGATGTTTGAAGTAGGTTGGGTAGAATTTAACTTTTGGCTCAAGGGAGCTTTTAGTTGATTAAATATGGATGTTCTTGCAGGTAGAAGCTTGGTTTCTCTCTGCAGCACATTGCTTTTCTTGAATGTATGCATTTGGGAAAGAAAGCTGGGCTCTTCTGTGCCTAAATCTTTTCTGTCTGGACCCGCCTATAAGAAATAGAAATAAAAACTGTCAGATTGTAACAACTGTAGGATTTCTAAGTGTGCAGCAGTGTGGTTGTAGCTGCCTTCAGATCTGTGAATTCATCTGCCTGGTCCCATGGCTGGCCTGTGCAGCACTGCTGGGAGGTCTGTCTTACCTGTAATTATACGCAGAAAATCGCTCCAGTAACGCCGTGTCTGAGCGCAGTATTAACATCTGCCCATCTTGGCAGAAAGACAGCTACCACAAACAGGCGATGCAACAGGCTGTCAAATATCCGGGCATCGGCAGGAACTCGCTCTTCTAAGGAAATTTTTCCAGCTCCGGTTATTAATCAGGCTGTGGGTGATCTTTCTGAGCTCTGAAGCTGTGGGATCTATCACTCATCCATCAGCGCTCGTCCCGCTCTCCCTGCGAGCATCCGCTTCCGTCTGGATGCAGCTGAGGAGGAATGAGACTTGCTGCTGAGTGGACTGGGGGGAGAGTGACAGTCTCATCCTAACGAAACAATCAGGTTTTGAGCTGGTTTGCAGTTCTGTTCCCGCTTTTGCAGGAACATAAACTGGACTGTTTCTTGCTGTGACTGCAGGAAGCCTCAGGAGCGGTTTGCAGTTCTCTCTGCTTCCAGCCCTTGGTGTAGCCTCAGAGAAGCGTGTTTCAAAAAACATAACTTTCAACTGCCTGGCACTTCCCAGTCTCTTCTATCTCTTGTCTGTGGTGCCATCAATCAAACTGTTCTTGTCAGCTAACTGGTTTTAAATCTCGTGTGGAAAAATTGTCAGTTCAAGATCATACGATGGTAAGGACAAACCTGACTGCTCTTGTCGTGCTAATTCATTCTTGCTTAAGACATGAAAATAAACTGATAGAATATCAATTTGAAGCTTTTAGACCTTGAAATGATTTAAAATCTCTTAAAAGAAAGACTAGGCCTGAAACTTTGTCTCCGAGGCATCGTTTTTAACTTAGCAGGAAGCTCTGATGGTCTTTTCTGTAAATTGCCTATTGTCCAGATGCCCACAAAGAAAGTGCTTCTGTGGGACTGTTTGTGTTTAGTGCTGGCATTTATTTCATTTCATGTGACAGATGACTTGGCTTCTGGATCTAGTAATTACTTGCTCATATCCCGCCGGGGCAGGTTTCTGACCTCCTGGAAGGCTGTGATTTGGTCTGGGAGCACCGACTGGCTGGGCAGACTCGCTCACGAACCCCGTGTTCTCCAGGCCTGGATGGCTCCTGATGCACCTCTGTGTGGGCTTTGCTGGGTGTTGCAGTCAGATGAGAGCAGTGGGAGCATGGAACCTTTAGGCTTTGCTACTGGCAGAACCACCCAATTAAGATTTAAATGTCTGAAAACCTTTTGTATCTGTTATGATTGATCGTCCATAATTGTGGGATGTCTTACCAGATTTCAGGTTAAGCTTAACAGCTTTTTTTATTATTTTTTGATTGTGAGAGATGGTTATGAACTTCAGAGGATTGCTGGATGGAGCTGAATGAACTGTGCTTTATTCTTCATCATAGTCATGCTTTTCACTCACAAAGAAATGCCTGGTTTCTTCTTCTATTTTTTTTTTTTTTTTTTTATAAGATGGGGAAATCGAAGAATTGAATGCAACCTTACATTGTGGCAGTTTTAAGTAGATTTTCTTCCCTTTTTTTAAATTTATTTTGCAGTATTATCATACAGCAGCTAAACTAATGAATATATAATTTTCTTTCCTTTCTGCTTGTCATGCCCTGCTAACATGGACCTCTACAAAGGCTCAGGTTGGTGTTGCAATCTGTCTTCATCTTATTGTTCTCATATAGTGAAAAGGGGCTTTGATGTTGTTCTACATCAATCAACTTTTTTCCCCTTCCCCTCTTCCAAACTGGATCCAACGTTGTTACTGCATAACAGATTCATCCAGAGAGGTGCCACATTTGTTTGTTACCCCTGAAACTTCAGCTGCAGCAAAATGTGCTGTTTCAGAAACAAGGGACATTGATTTATTTATATCTACTTAAATTTGCTATGCTTGCCTGGCTTTGTGACAGGGAGGCAGCAGCAGCTGCAGCAACTTCTGAAATCTGTAAAATCCACCAAAACTCTCACTAACGAGTTTCTGCCTCGCTTTAGACCCCCCATATGTGACAATATAGTAAAATGGCATTTGTCGATATCTCATCTGGACAAAACAGAATTAAAAAATTGAGTAAAAAAGCAGAGCCAGAGGAACTGGGCATTTGTGATCATATTCTCATATCCACCGTTTCCAATTCAACAGCTACAGTTTTTGTATAGGTCTGAGACTAAATTGTCTTGCCTGAGTATTTCAGGTAGAAATAAATGCCCAATACCTGCAGGGTTATACTTTGTGCTGTGTCCTGCTCCTCAGAGGCCGTAGTGACAGTAAAACCTGCGAGGCAAGTTTGGGCCAGGAGCTGCATGTTCTCCCGTATTTCCTCGTGTTGAATGATGCCAACTTGGTATTTTAATCTCTGTGAAAGAGCAGTCATGCTTTACCACGTCACAACTTGGTGTTTCTAATGCCTGCACCAATCTCACAGAAAATAAAACCACTTACCACTCATAAATATGAATTAATAAACCTTGCTGAGCAACATGTTAGTTCTGTCAGTGTGAGCTGTAACGACTGGGGTTCGAGAGAGCTCGCCTCAATTAACTTTTTAAACAAGGCATTTTCCTCTCATTGCACTTGAGAATTTGAAATAAAGCAGTGTCTGACTTTGAATATTTAATTACCCGTTAGAAGCGTGAAAGGGATTTACTAGGAGCATTTTGTAAAGTCCAGCAAAAGGCTAGATACAGTAAAGAGCATGGTGAGGGAAAGGGGAGCATCCAGATATCTTTATAGCAGGAATATCCTGCTGATTTCCTAATTTCCCCTCTTTGCCTCGTTTTACAGCCAGAATTTTACGGTGCTGCTTTTTTTGATTACTTCATCCTGAAATGTCTTTATCTGAACTTTTCAGGATCTGATTTTAATCTGAGATGTCATCCAGTTAGTGCAGGAAATTGGGCATTTCCAGATTCAGTTCCCCACTCCCTTAGGGCTCCCTCACCAACCTGTCTGTACTAAATCACTCTTCATCTTCAGTTTTCTCATGGGTAAATTAGGATTAAAGTTGAGTGGGTTTGAGGATTGGGCTATAAATAGATAATCAAGAGGAGGAGAAACTTCAGAGGCTTGATAAGTGTTTTCACTCTTTTCAGAGAAAGTGATTTTTCAGCAGTTTTTGAAGTAGTAGAGTAGTGGTGAAGGGTCTGTTTCTGTAGGGGTTTCCATACTGCCCGCAGAGCAGACACTGGGAATTGATGCAGCTTTCTGTCTGTGCTGTCATAATTACTGCCCTGACTCTGAATTCATATATTTTACTTAGAATAAAATGGATCCCATCCCTTTACCAACTACAAAGTTTTAGACAGGTCTGGGTTTTCGTGGTTCAGTGCCAGTGAAGGCTTTTGAGAACCTTAGCGAAGCTCTAATTGATTTTCTTTTTTCTGCACCACAAAGGAGGAAAAAAATCACAAATTCCTTTGATTTGGGCGTAAATGAAAACTAAAAGTGCTGAATTTGCTCCACGAGTATTTGTGCAGGTATCTGCTAGAGGCATAAAAAATTCAGGAATTCCGATAATTTCAGAAGTCTTACCACATAATGATCTTTTCAAACTTTTGTTCTGGAAGTCATTTGGGGCAAATTTTTTTTTTTTTTTTCACTTCGGTGGCTCTTTGCAGCATCCAAATACCCAAAGACAAGTATTCATCAGTGAAACCGCTGCTTTGCAAAATCCAAATTGCTTGAAAATTAATTGTTCAACCAGTTTTAATACTGGTGAGTGGTTAGCATATTTCTGGCAATCGTGATCAATGTATAAACCAGCATGAAATAAAATCAATTTTATTTTAAAGAGGACTATTTAATGTTGAAATTTTAATGAGATAATTTCTGTGATGTAGTGTTTGTTAATATGCAAGTACTTGTCCTTCAGATATACAGTTAATTCAGTAAAGCTTTCAAGTGCGTGCTTGGATCTGCCAAATCAAACACGCAGTTAAGTAATTAACAAAGCAAGTACTCCACTTTTAATTCAGTTTTAAAGAATTAAATGATAGAAAATCATTGTTAGAAATTATCTGGTTTGGATTAAACAGAATGTGAAAGCAGTGTTGGTACATTATAAAAGTTATACAGTTAATGTATAGGCATCTTACAACCAAAAAAGAGATTTGTATGAAATAGATGGAGTCAAATTTGCAGGTTATTACAATGAATGGACATTTTTTGAGATGTATTTCCCACCACGCTCTGGATCCGTTCATGCCAGGCTGGTTGCAAGGGAGTGCTGGCTGTGGCCCAGATGTCACCAAGTGGTGACCATAAGCTCTAAGAGGAAGAGAGGTTCCCTTTTGCACTGTGACATCCCACTGCTGCCTCCCCTCCTCTTGCAGCCTGGATATGCAGGGAAAATAGAAGTGAGTATGCAAACGGTGTTAAAAGTGAGCGAATTGCTGGCCAGTCTTAGTAGGAGGGGTTTTAAAATCCGCACTTGATTTTCTCTACCGGCAAATCTGTTTGCAAACCAGAGCAAGTCAGCTCTCCTGCCTAAAAATGGATCTTTTCCAGCTTTGGTGTTACTCATTGTGGCCTCCATGGTTTAAAAATGGGTTGTTATTTCTTTGGTTCTGGCTGTGTCAATGCATTAGGTCTAACGTAACCTTGGTGTAAGGGCAGCGATGTGAAATGAACTTACGTTAGCGATGAATTTATCCCATTTGTATTAGAAATTAATAGCACAGGGGTAGTCCTCAGGGTGTCAGGCAACTGCTACAGTGATCAGTTTGGTTGTTCTAATATAATAAGCAGATATTGACTTAGTTGGAGTGAACACCAAGATTTACTGTCATGAAATTTAAAATATCGACTGAGGGAAAACCAGAGTCAATATTTACCTTGAGGGACAATAAATCTTGATGTTCACTGAAATATGAAGTCACTGTGATTTTCAGAAGCGTTGAACCTCGTTCTAGGTGCTCATCAGAAAAGCTACCTGAAGTGTAGGTATGAATTTCTTTCAATGAATCGTGTCAGCTGAGCAAGTGCACTTGTTTCTGTACATCCTTTGCAAGGTCTCTATTATTCCTGAGCTACATTTAAATAAGTTAGAGAACATTGTAAATCACACCAAAGCTCCTTGGTGGTTAGGTATTTGGGCTTTTCATTAAAATTCAAGTATCAGCTATTAAAAAGGAAAATAAATAGATTGATGTTTGTATATCTTGCTGAAGTAGCTGTTGACATCAATATTCTTTAGCAAGGGCTCAGGCTTTGCATTGGAATGAATGGTAAATGGCTTCTTTTCTTAGGGCAAGTTTTAGCAGTCTGTCTCCTATGTCCTTCGTTCCTTTAATTTACTAAGAAGTGTGCCCATCAACTTGATTTTAGGATTCAGATGTTAAAGTACAATTTCAGGGCAGCTGTGACTACAAAGAGCGATACAGTGGTCCTGTGAAAGTCAGTGGCAAAACTCCCCTTGACTTCAGTCAGGCATTGTTTCACCCCTTGATCCATTGAGCCCCAAACCCAGCATGTAAATATGAATAAAAACTGAGGAAAGCAGTTAATTTCCTAAACTGCTAAAAGACTGTGTTTATTTCTTGAGGCAGTAAGGGATGGAGCCAGGCTGTCCCCCTGGGTGCTGAGCTCTGCAGTATCTCACAGGTCAGGTGTCTGCAGCTTCCAGCATCTTTCTGCCCCCTGAGCCATGAAGAGCAATGGGCCTCTGTGCCTATCGCATGGAATTAATTTCATTTCTGCCCTTCAGGAGATGGATTATGGTACTGCAGCTCCATACATGCGTTTAGGGGCTCAGTCTGAAGGGGTTTGTAAATCCACTGTCATAGTGGGTTTGCATAAGTTTTGGGGAAGGGTGAACATTAAGCAGCTTATTTTCAGTGGAACTGTTGTCTTTGTGAAGTGGCATAGCTGGTCTAGAGAATTCTCTATCTGCAGCAGAGATGCTGGATGGCAAACATGATGAGGGCTGGGAGCCTTTGTGTGTAATTTGAAGCTTGGGTGCACTCTGTGTTACAGCCAGGGATCCCTGGGAGCACATCCCAGCCCCTTCCATGCTCAGGCACTTTGGGTCCCTGGGTTGGTGAGGAGTGAGGACACCACATCCCATCCCAGGGTCAGGACAGGGATGTTCCCATGGACCCAGGAGGTGAGAAGTGAACTTAGGTTGCCCTGGTAGGTAGGACCCAAAGAACAGAAAGGCTTAGGCAAAAATCCTTTCAAAATGCAGAATCAAGAGCATCATCTGACCTCCTTAAGTACCACAGTTTCTAGCAAAACTTAGGAATGAAAAGTTTGTTGTGATTTTTTTTCCCCAATAGGGAAAAAAAAAAAAAAAAAAAAAAAAAGAAGAGGAATTGGAGGTGATTGAAAACAAATTATGGCAAGCCAGGAAAGAGAAACAGGAGGAAAACACTGTCCTGTGGAGGAAAGAACCACATGCCACATCACTGTGGTTTTTAAGTGCAAATACAGAGAAACAAATTATATTCACAGCTTCCTGAATGCATTCCCACAGAGTTCCACCCATGGAAATCTTGCATCTCTTTGAGACTCCCATTTAAAAGCTTAACGGTGTCCTCTGGTGTCTGTTGTAACTTTTTCTGTAGAAATCTGTGCCTCCCAATGACATGAGGTGGTTATTTACATCTCCCAAGTGTCCCAGTGGTGCTGATGCAGGGTGGAGGGGAGAGGTTGTTCAGAGGCAGGACAGGCTGTGTGTCAGCACAAGGACTTAGGAAAATGGGTTGTTTGTAACAATAACGTTCCAGAGTTTTGGTGGTGAGCGTAACCTGGCAATCCTGACCAAAGTGGAAGTACTGAACAGGTTGGCAGGTGCTGCAGGGATATGTGGCCAGTGCTGTGTGACCTCATCTCCTCCAGCGCAGAATGAGATGTCTGTCTGTCTGTCTGTCTGTCAGAGGAGGAAGAGGAGGAGGAGGAGGAGAGCTGATGGGACTTCACATGTAATCGTAGCAGTTTGACACAGTCAGACAGCAGACAAGCAGTGCTGTATTAATGGCTTTGTTCTTGTGATCCTGCCTGCTCTTGAAAGAGCTCATTTGAAGTTTCACTTCGTATTATGAGTATTTGTGTCACTGAATAAGGGATTTCTGGTTTGACCTCACATGTTTCCTCATGGTAAGATTTTAGTTCATGTGGCATCCCATGCCTGCCCAACCCTGTCTGGTTTTCCTACACAGATACCACATCAGGTACATGCTGCAGGAGCTTTTAACCACCAAAACACATTTATGGTAAACGCCTGATGTTAAGCCTCTGCTGCTATCCACAGGTGGGCTTTGCTGCTTCAGAGAGGTCTGAGGTTTAAGAGATGTTAAGGCAGAGCAGTCACTGAGACAATGAGATGGGATTCCCAAGCTCTTGACCCCATCCTGGCTGCAGGCAGCAGGACGAGCGCTGAAAGGCAGGCAGTGCTGTGAACCTGCAGGATTCACAGCAGTATCGTCTAACCCTGAGGGAAGGTCAGTAATTAGAGCCAGGAAAAGAACCTTAAATCCCCAAAGCCACAGTTTGTGCTGGCCTGCCCCTGCTGCCCTGCTGTGCTTGTGGAGGGAAGCAGCACCACACCGTCACCTCCCGGCTGCTCCCAACTCTGGCTTTCTCTCCAGAAGAAGTCTAAAGAGCAGGAACAGGCCAACCAACTCCCAGTAAACTTACTTACTAAGTTTTACCATCCTTGACACTACCCAGTGAGGCACCTGCTCCCTGGGATGCAGGATCCCTGCCCCCAGCAGCCAGTTTTGTCCACGTTTGGCTCTTTCCTCTCTCTGGTTTTGCCTCCTCTCTGTTTCGAGGGAGACACTGATCATGCCTCAAGCACGCATTTCCCTCTCACTAATCGCCTCCTGCAGACAGCAGTATGTTTTGTCAGGCAACATAGGCAGGCTGTAGTTTTTCCTTCCTCCTGTGGAGCAGGGAAACTCATAAATACTCCCTGTCTCTACATCCATCTCCGGGATGGATGTCCGTGGGGAATGCAAAGGCTTCGCAGTGCCTGGAGAGGGATTGCTGCTGTCCCTGGTGTGTGCAGGGATGTGGCTGCAGGAGCCAGTGACTCTCTGGAGGTGACAGGCTGGCAGGGCAGGATGGTGGCTTCACAGCAGGAGGGTGCTTCCTCTGTGTGCTTTTGTGTACACCAGTTAGTGTTTTCAAGCCTGGCTGTGCAGATAATTAGCAGCATTTGTGGTGCTGCTTGCCATATCAAGTGTCTGAGGAGCAGTGGGATCTTTCAGAGACCTTTGTGCAGGTCCAGCACAAAGCACCACACACCCCCTGAGCTCCCCTGAAAGGCTGTGGGTTGATCCCACTCGCTCTGGCAAGAAAATTGATGTAGCAGATGTCATCATTGAGCATAATTTATCCCTGGTGTAGTAGTGTGTGTTATTTGTGCACAGACCATAAAAAAAGATCTCATAGAACCACAGAGTGGTTTGGAAATGGACCTTAAAGATCATGTTCCAACGCCCTCATCATGGGCAGGGACACCTTCGACTAGTTCAGGTTGCTCCAAGCCCCAACCAGGTTTGTAATTTGTGCTTAATAATATGTAGAGAAAGTTGTACTAATTTGCCTTTGCCCCGTTTGTTCCCTTCCCTTTCTTCTGCGTGGAACATGATGCTCTTACTAGTTCATGTTGTCCTTGCCCTCACCAGTTTCAATTTTGGTTTCCCTCTTTCCTGTCTTGTCTTCTTCATATATTTTGCACTTTTCAGCGTCTCTTATTCTTCCTTCTCTACTGATCCTATACACAACATGTAGGCAGACCTAGTGCTGAAATTAGTTTCTGACATTTCTGTTCCTGAGGGGTTTTCCTTTGCAAGTTATCTTCCTCTTATTTGATAGGAAGGTGATTTTCTGATGGGACACGAATTTTGTTTCTGGACTGATATCTCAATCTCTGTCTTCCCACCTCCAGAGTGTTGCAAAGAAGGTTTCTTTGTTCTTGTGGCCACAACATGGGTAGTCATAATATGCTATTTTAAAATGTGCCTGTAAATTGTTAAACTTGTGGCTGATTTTTTTTTTTTTTGGGGGGAGGGAGATTTTTGGGAGGAAGGCTATTGATTTATAGTTATTTTAATGGTGAGAATGAAATGCCTCCACAGCAGCAAGGCTGAGGAGACTTTGGTATGTGGAAGAAGAAATTTTAGGTGCGCTGTATTTTTCCAGGGCAGCACATATGCTTCATGCAAAGCAACAGGGAATACTGTATCTTCAAATCAGCTTCTGCAGGCAAACTAGATTCAAAATAAATAACTTTTATTCGTCTCTGTAATAGAACTGCTGATGCATTCATATATTTAAACCTAAACATCTGCTGAAGTGTTATATCTCAGTGTGCTGCTTTTAACAACCTGAATATCCAGCACCTTTTATCAAGCTTTTGGCTGTATTTTTCTCTCTATGTAGATACCATAGTTCAGGTGAATACACTATTGTGTTTGATTAGGAGATATGTTAGAGATAAGTCACTTGCATGGAAAAAAAGCATTTACAGTTTTTATGTATAAAAATGAAATTTGTGGGACTCATGAAATTTCATTCTCTTACGGTAAATGACTTACAAGGATATGTTAGAAGCAAAGGTAAATGAGTGCTGATTTTAACTTTGTACCTTCTGAAACACGAAAGGATTTGGTACATACAGTCCTGGTGAATGACATGTGATAGATTATACTGAGAGCAGGCAGAGCAAATGAAATTGTAATGGAGTTCCTCTTCTGGCTCCAGGAAATAGCTATTATTTATCCTGATTCCTAAGATGCTGCATGCATACTGCTCTTTATTATATACTTAAAAATCCCTTGGCAAGTCAGTAATGAATAAATGAACTTAAAGCCATTACAACACCCTTAGCATAAGGAATGTAAGCCAGGATATTTTTCAGTGTACCTTTTCCTGGGCTTGGCTGAGGTATCTGTGCAGAGGTGCTAACCTAGATGGCTCAGCTGAACAGTCTGGTTCTTTCTCCCGGCAGGTGCACGAGGCAGTCCCATGCTACAGCGAGTGCAATCAGTATTCTTGGGCAGTAGAACCGTGGTCTCCGTGCAAAATCAACAGCGAACAAAATTCCCTCCACTGTGGAGAAGGAATACAAACAAGGAAAGTCAGGTGCGTAGAGGCAAAAGCTCAGGTACTCCAGATCAAAAAGAGCCGATATGTACTTGAATAAAGCTGGAATATCTGACCATCTGACAGTGAGTACGTTGCTGAGTCCGGTGTATTTCGATGAAAAGAAACATGTTTGTGTGCCATGGTTTACAGGAAAAGCATCTCAGGGATGCAGCCTTGGTTTCTCAGGAAGACAGCGTGATATTTAAATTAGAATTCTTCAACCTAAATGCCATGTATACATAAAGCTCCCTGAGGTGCCTCCATATTCTGATTTGCTAACATTTTCCTCAAGTAATGGCGCTGCACGCACCAGAGTGGCATTCATTATTACTGAATATTCATTCCCCAGGCACGGGGAAATGCTGAGTTATTTCCAAGTGTTCAGATGTTCCTAGCAGGAGCACAAAGGTTTGTTCTTGCTGGTTGTCATTTTCTGTTTGCTCCTCTGTCAGCCGATCAAAGTTAAAATCCCTCTGTATGAAGTTTGCAATGTTTACTTAAGATGTTTTATTGTTACTGAAGTCTGTGAGTAACAAAAGCATGTTGTGCATGCTTTTGGTTTGCAGTAACATGATTAATTCTGCTTTTTGACCAGCCATGCTGCACGTAGGTATTGTCATTTCTGGTGTCCCGTATGGGGTCGAGCAGACTTGTTGATATCCATCACATATGTGGTACTCTAATGAAAATGTCTGTTTTTGTTTAGGTGTGTGAGTGCTGCTGAGGACCATGGAGGGGAGGCTGTGCCCAACGCTCTGTGTAATCAGGCTGAAATCCCAGACACAGTGCAGAAGTGTAGCTTGTACTGTCCCAGTGAATGTGCAGTGTCCTACTGGGGACAGTGGAGCAGGTGTCCACAGGTAGGCCTCCTGCTTGTGTCGCTGGCAATGTTCCTCTTCGCTTGTCTTTCAAGCATTTCATAGCATAGTTATTTTCTAGGAAAGAAAATTATTTTCTGAGGGATGTCAGGCTCAATGGATCCTGCCAGCATGGTTGAATCTGGAGATATTTATATCTCTGCAGAGACTGTAGAAAGTTGGGGAACTCATAGTTATTACTGTGACAGTTGATCCAACACATCCTTCCCCTTGTCTATGGCCCACACAAGCAGAGTGGGTGAAGGGAGCAGTACTCAAGCTGCAGTAAGGGCTGTCTGTCTGAGGAAATATTTGCAGGGGACACCTCTGTCAATGATGCATGACTGCCATAACAACCTACTGGTAAGCTGTGGTGGTGACACTTCTCTGGACAGGTCTTAGTCCTGAGGGAATAACAGCTCTCCCCTCCGAGCAGACACTATTTCTGTCCAGCATCTCCTCCTCCTCAAAACCTTGAGGGAAGATTTGAGGCAACAGCAGCAGAAGGGCATGGCAACAAGATGCCTGAACAATTTGTCATGTCATGAGACTTTGTGAATTATGCAGGGATTCAAGCCACTGCCAAGTGCTCTCTGTTTTCCTAAGTGTGCAAGATGGAAAGAAGCTGCAAATTTTGTATTGTGAAAACTCTCTGGCCTCAAAGCATGTGATTTCAAACCTATTGTTTCTCCCTGATGGGTGTTGAAATAGGTGCCAGGTTTAATCTCACAGGGTTTTTTTAATAGACTTACTTGATGTATTTAAGTGACAAACATATATTCATTGCCCCTGTGTTAACAGGGCCATTATCGAAAGTCTGAGTAGTTATTGGACAGGTATTTATACTACTGCTGACACAGGTAATTTCCTTCCATAATATTTTGTGTAGCGTATCAATATACTCGGTAAGAACATGTCAAATAAAATCCTGTGTTTCATTTCCTACATTCACCTCCTCCTGAGCAGCACAGCTTTGATGAAGTATAACACTCTTGCAACCCATACAAATGCTTGGATACCTTTCGAAGTCCCACTGCGGTTGGGCTGTTTCTTTGCCATTGACTTTTTCAGACATAGATTTTCCTCATTTTCGCACGCAGTGAACTAATGCAGAGATCCTCGAGGCCATTGGGTGTATTTCAGGTGCCTCGGTGACAGTTCAAGCAGAAGGACTGCTTGAAGCTTTTAAGCACCCTGGTATCCTTAAGACATCTCGAATTTTTGCCTGGAGGCTCTTTTTTGCCGGCAGTGAAGCTTCCGTAGCCCACGGAAGCAGGAAAGGGAAGCCCAGAGCTCGTGGGCTGCACTCCATCAGGCAGCACAGCTCTTGGCAGGCACAGGGCCTCATGCCACAGTCCCTGTGTCTCCTTCTGCATCCCTTTGCCACGGTGGATGTTAATTCATAAATGTGAGGGCATCTGCATGCCAATGCAATTAGCTGAACAATATGTTTTCACAAGCTGTTCTGCAATGCTTTGTTGTGAAACTGAGGCGACTGTGTGCTGGCGGAGCATGTGTTTCAGTAGTGCTGTCCAGATACGAGGCAATAAACAGCTTGAAGTTTTATGGGCAGATAAAACCCTCCCTTTGATGAGTTTACAGCAGTGCTGTCTCCCTTTTACAGCTACTCCGGCTGTTTGTGTTTGGTTTTAAGAGAGAACCACACAACACGGTCCCTCCCAGGCTGCACATGCTCAGCATCCCCAAGGCAAGCGCTGGGCTTTGCTGTCAGTGCAGAATGACTGTGCTGTGACACTGGTGTGTCTTTGGTTTGTGTGGGGCCAGAGGTGTGATGGAGCAGGGATTGCAGGAATGGGGGCCAGGAGTGAGGGACTGCCCAGCAGCAGGGTGGTTAATGGAACCCTCATCTCCTGAGTCACCGCTGGGAAAGGTGGTCACTGAGAAGTGCCATGAGCCAGTGGATGTGGTCAATGGAGTGACAAAGCCAGTGGAGCCTATGGAGGATCCCATTCCATCTGTAAGGCAAGAGCTACCTGTGGTCAGCTGAGTAGCTCCACTGGTTGCAAGTGAGAGCTTGGGTCTGTCATGGATGGAGAACTATACATAGACACCCAGATATAGGAGTCTGCAGCTGCAGCTGCATCTCATGTTAAGTCTTTTGATCAGACCTGTTGGGCCTCCAGTCTTCCTTCACGTCTTCCCACAAAGCCCAAAATACGTTCCAGTAAGGTTGCATGCACAGAACCTCTTGCTCATTAGGGCTGTCTGTTTAATTGTGTTTGAGGGAATTGTGCTCAATAGCTGGTATAATCATGCATGGCTTCTGATTCATGCCAAACTGGAAAGAAATGCCTGTCTTCTGAGGATGTATAAAATGCTTTTTGAATATTCACCAAAAACATGTTTTCTAAGTATGGCTCCTTTCTCTTCCCCGTGCAGTCCGAAAAATTCAAAAGATCACATCATATTGCCATGAAAAAGCAAAACTGTAAATCCTGGCTGCTCTTTTTCAAGTGCATTTGCATTTCAGACCAAAATAGTTGGCACTCTTCTAGTCATAGCTCTCTCATGAGGCAGCTGCCAAAGACCATTCCAGGATATCTTCCTCTAGCTCTGGTCGTGTTTGGCTTGCTGGAGATAAAGAGGATTTATGAAACTTGACAAATTCTAGTTTGTAAGAAATGAACAATCACAATTTCAGCCTCATGTTTGCCCGAGGAGTCCTTTGATTTGAGATATTTACCAAAGATCTTGCTCAGGTGAGAATTCTTTTCCAGTTGCTTTGGTGTTCTGCTCATGTTTTATAGTGTTGATAATAAATTCATCCTGATAGCAGAATAACTAACTCTTATCAGCTGAATATAAAAAAGCCTTTTAGATTATCCGTTGTACCTTTTGTCAATATGTCATTGTACTCAGGGTACTTTCTAGGGTATTACTCGGTTTTATCTTGTAGCAATATTCTTCCCATGTGAATTTTCCACTTTCAGGATGGTAAATGATCTTGAATCATGTTGAAATCAATGAGTCATAAAGGTGGTGACTGCTTTGTCAGTGGAAAGTATTTTCTTCAGTACTTTTTTGTCTAAAACGTTGTATTTGCTCTACCTTTTTTTTGTGCATTTCCTCTTTATTTTTAAATGTTTGGGTTCTTTTATAATTTCAGATGGTCCCACAATTCTTTTATGTGTATTTTTCCAACTGAATTGCAATTTTTGCATCTTGATTATGGTGCTATTTAACATTGCTACACAAATGTAAATTTTAATATTTCATTTCATAACTGTGATCCAGACATGCAGCTGAAATACAATACTTTCAGGTTTTGTCTCTGTACTGGATTAAAGAAACTCATAGTTATGGATTTGAAGCTCCCCTATTATTTTCACTTTCTCTATTTTGAAAAGTAAATTCAAAATGGTTTTCCCTCTTGTTGAAGACTAATTTTTGGCTCATAAAATTTTCTTCTCTGTCACTAAGTAACATCCATGTAACTTAAATATGAAGCCTTTAAAGCCATTTAAAATAACAATTTGAAGCTTGCTGGTTAAAAAAAAATAAAAAATCATAGGCAAATTAGGTTGACTTGCATTTTGCTTCAGAGATTTCATATTTGTTCCAGGGACAATAGCATGTTCAGTCAGACATCATCACTTGATTGCTCAAAGACCCAGCTAAACAATCTGGAAACTGAAATCCTATCATCTCTGTTGCATATTCAGTGATGGAATAACACACGCTTCCTGCGGCGCCTCGACTTTGTATTCATCTGACTTGGAAATGTAATTAATTGACTTCAATTGAATTCATCAAAGCATTCTTAAAAAGAGTTAATATGCGAGTGGTGCTACAAGTCCCTGAAATAATTACCTCCAATCTATTTCGTTAGCTCTCTGTTGGGTGGATGGCTGTCGCAGCCCCCATTGCGGATCGGAGTGGCCTCCTCTCTTGCCTCAGCTGTTGGCATTTCTAGCAGCTAATTCCAAGAGGTCTGAAATTAGTTAATTATAGGAGGTTGCATGTCTGGCGAGTGAGAACAGCTGTCTCCGTTTCAGCGAGCATTTTCCTCTTGGATCAATAGCAATGTACCGCGCTCAGGACTTGCCTCAATTGAGTTATTATTCCCTCGAATCTGCGATGGGGGAGGGGGAGTGTGATATTGCCACAACTGATCGGATTAGAAGTGTCACCAAGCAATGCAGCCAGCTCTCAGCCTGGCAGTGGCTTTCATCGTGGCTGCAAGTCGGAGTGGTTACAGCTCGGAAATGCCAGCTGGAAGGGAAACCGTGGGCTCGTGTAGACACTGGGGCTCTGCACATGCCTTACCGAAGTCTTCATCACTGCTGGTGCCTGTGCTCGGGATCACAGAACGGGCAAGGTTGGGAGGGACCACTGGAGGTCATCTGGTCCAACTCTCTGCTCCAGCAGGATTCCCTTGAGCACATTTCTCAGTATTGTGTCCAGACGGCTTTTGAGCATCTCCAGAGGAGACTCACCAACCTCTCTGGGTTTGGCACGTAAGTTTGGCAGAGCACCTGCAGTGTGGAGGCTGGACTGAAGAGTGAGGCTTGCACAGAGTTGTGTTTCAAGCCCAGGAGATAATTTATTCAGGTCAAGCATGAGAATTATGCTGGTCCAAGGCTTTTTGGAAGAACATGCCCTGCTCCTTAGCATAGCAGTGACTTGGATTTTTTTGTATAGCTTTCAGAAAAGTTGGTAACTGCTGTATTTTTTAGATTTGTTGTTTTATTTTTATTCATCTTCATTAGCAATCATTTTTTAAAAAGCAGTGGTTCTGTGTGGAGGCAGGTAAAGTTTCAGAATCTAGGTCTGTCTGAAAAAGAAAATTTATGTAAATGTATTCTCATCTCAAAAGATTGCTTGTGTTATTGTAAATGGCTTGTTAAATTGTTACAAAACATCCACACTGGCATGAACAATATAATGGTTCATTGATCTGTTAAAAATAGTCAAATACTGTTGCTGCCTTTGCATGTACCTTATTTTGAGGTTTTATGTTTCCTTATGAATAGCCAGTTAAAAATAATGCAGCCAGCTATTTATAGTGCAGGATGCATTATACAAACTGCTTGATAAATTAAACAGCTTAAAGGGCCCTCTAATGGGTTACAGCCTTTGTGCTGTACAATTATGATGTGTATGAAAGCCTAGATCAATGGACAGCTTTTAAAATCCGTCACAAAGAAGGTCTAATAGTGTATACTAATGTGTGATATGTTAACAGCTCTTGCACTGGAACTTAGCGTTCATAACCTTACAGGTTTATTTTATTTAATACCCTTCTCTTCCAGAACAAACTTTCAGTGCTTTATCTGTTCCATTATTGTCTGGAGCAAAGGCTGGGTACATCCTTTGTGTATGGTTTTGTCCCTCACTTTTTATGAGGGACTCTTTTATGGCTTAAAATAGTGACAAGTGGTCATGGTGAAAAACTGAGATTGGCTAGAAGAAATATTAAAAAATGCAGTAGTCAAGAGTGCCAGGAATTCCCCCACGGAATCAAGATGATGACTGTTATAATTTCTAAATGGTCCTTTGAGAAAAACTTTGCTTTATTCCTGCCTTAACATTTTATGTGCCTCTCATTGCTTCAAAATATTTTGTTTCTGTAGTGGTTTATATAATCTGGCCTATAGATTCCTGGCTCTGGCTCAACTCATGAAGTTTTCATACTTCATGGAAAAGAATAATGGAAATGGTGAGATTTAATTCTATAAAGCAGGCTGGGACATTGTAGTTATACCCATAAAGAAACTTACTGTGTCTGTGTATGACGTCCTACTGCTGTAGGCTATTATGAGGCTATTGTGCCACCTGAGGTAGGTCCCCGTTATTTTTGCCATCCAGAAATTAATTGCATTCCTGTCACCAATTCTAGAGTATGCATATGCCAGAATTACACACCTCGTTGTCATTAAGGAGGAATCTGGACAAACAGCATAGTCTGTAAAACTCAACAGCTAAACTGATCTGGCACCTAACCCTGAGGGAGCATGGAGTTCTCCAGGCCTCTGGCCTTCTACCTCTGTTCATCACAGCTACCTTAATTTCATAGTACTTGTTTCCTCTCCTATATTCATGGCCAGTTGGCACTCATATTCATTGTCTATCTTTGATCCATAAGTCTTTATTTCTAGTCTGAGTGCTGTTGTCGCCTGCCTGTTTTCCTCTTTCTTTGAGCTTCCACTGTAGAAATATTGGCTAATACTGAGCACAAAGCATTTGTGATAGCCTTACAGGAGGTAATGGCTGACTTAATGTAAAATATAATTAAAAAAGCTTCATATGTCATCAGTGAAAGCAGTGGTTGCTAATAGAGCAGTAGGAAGTAAAATAATGTCTTTGGAAGTAAAGCATCCACTCAGTGGGAAGAGAGGAGTTGTAAATGAAGATACTCAGTAAGGCAGTGCTGAATCACAGTGGGTTTTATTTATTTAAAAACCCCAAAATTGTAGGTTCATATGTGCATTCAATTAGAATCTTGGATTCCTGGGGCAGATCCAGTCTTGATCCGTGTATCTGAATGGCACCTTCGCTATTTTGTATGAAAGGTTATTTGAACAGTCAAATTCGTTCTACCATTTTCTTGATTTGTGAGAATATTCAGAATCAATGCCTTCTGTTATCTTGCCCAAATCTTAATTAATTCTGTGATAATTTCTTACTTTAAGTACTCAAGGGATATTTCTTTCATTTGCTGCCTTTTCCATAAATTACTGCCTGCGTTCCTGTCCTACCTCCTAAACACATGAGTTGCCATTGATGCTGTTTGGTTTTGCTCTCAGAACCTGATAAGATTCAAATTCAGGACTAGGCATACACCCTTGGTAGTGATGGCAGTGGTGACAATGGTGACATATTATCTTCCTTTTGCTGTGTGGATTGCACACATCTCTTCATTACTGCTTGTTAATACCCCTCAGCATCTCCCCACTGGAACCAATCCCTCTTCTTTAACTTTCACTGTTCACATCCCGTAATGACTCTGGGTCTGCCAAGCCGTCCCTCAACCTTTGCCATGTTGTAAATACTTAATTTTTTTCCAGCCTGGGTTTTTGGAAAGGTCCTGCAGGAGTTGTGCACCCAAGCCCATTGAGATTCCAGGGTAGCTGGATACTCAGCTTCCTCTTGCTCCTTTGAAAATCCCAGCTTTCATCTTCTCCTTTGCAAGTCGTTCCCTCCTGCTGCTTACTCAGTTCCATGTGTATTTGGCTCAATTTTTTACATCGTTAACTTGAAAGAGTAGGGCCAGAAAATCAATTATAAAACTAATTTGACTTCTCAATTGACGTTAAGAGAAATTCAACAAATAATATTACAGGATATTAGTTACAGTTTGCCAGCTTTGAATTTTTGCATGTTTCCCGTGTACTCAGCTTGATTAAATGAACGCTTTTCCTACAGAGATTCCTTATTATTCCAAACTGGTAAAAGTGAGGAGCTTATCACATCAGCCCTGGCTTCTGAACACCATGTCTCATCAGCGCAGTGAGAATTCAGGCTTCAGAACGGCAGTAAACCAGTTGTTTGTTTGGGTCCTGGCAAACACCAGATAGATTTTGACCTGTTAGACTGATCTGCTGCCCACCAGGAGGATATCTGAGAGGGAAAACAGTCCTGCCAGCCAGGAAATCTGGGGGGGCTCTGTGACAACACTGGGCTGCATCAATGCCCTGTTATCAGGCACAATGGGGAGCATGCTACGCAGGGGGAAAATATTATTTTATTAAAAGAGTTTACTTATCTACAAATGATGCATATTTTCTGTCTGCAGGTTCTCATTTTGAAGGGAGCAAAAGCAGTATTTCTGAGCTGGCACAGGCAACTTCTGTCACAGCATCCATTGATTTCTTTTTTTTCCCCTTTGGTAGCATAATTCAGAGAAACATTAATTAGGAGTAGCCACTGAGATACCCGCTTTGATTTTTTCCTTACTCGTTTTGGTTTATTGGCAAATCATTTAAGTTATTAGTGTTAGTTGTGAGGATGAACAATTAGATTAGTTGAGAAAAAGGCAGTAAACTATTGGTAAACACTTAGCATGGGTTTAATTTTCAGATAATTAGAAACAATTGGGTGTTTTAGCTGACCATGGGTATTCAAATAAGATTACCATTTAAAATGATTTGACAAGGTGTGTGTCAGCAATAAGAACATTGATAATAGAATTTCTTTCACATAATGTAAGCATAAGGAAAATAGGCCCTGGCAATGTATTTTAAGACCAAACCAAACTTTTTTCCTGTTTTTCCTAATATTTATTCTGTTCAGTTATCCTATGATCTGTGCAACTAATCCAGGTTTACAGCAGTCTGAGAACTAATTTATGCTGCAAGGCCATTACATTTCCCTTTAATATTCACAATACAGGAATTATCCACACTTTCACCCATGCAGGGTTCAGTGTTTGCAGGCAGTTTGTTGCATGATAATAAGCCCATGGTTTAAGCTGTTAGTTATTTTTTTGTAATTAAAGTACTCTATAGGAAAATCATGTCTTAAATCCCCAAGCATTTGTGAAAATGTATTTCTGCATGCATTGTTTGGTTGTTTTTTTTTTCTTGCTGTTCCTGAACAAACCAAATGAGAAACTGTCAGGAATTAAATAGGTCATCTTGTCCAATAGATGGCTGTGAATACTTTTAATGGGGATTTATTTCCGTGAGATTTGCTGGGACCATGTCCACTCACCATGCCATACTGAAAGAGTGATGTTTGAGGGCTGCCAAAACCCAACAGTTTGCATGCCTATGATGACAAACATAAATGAAAACCTGCCTCATTTGGTTCATATTCCTGTGAAAATATAACCAAACAAATCCTGTTTTGTAGAGAGTCGGACATCAGTATTGGTATCACATACTTTGAAAAGTCTTGATGTCAGAATCATAACTGAAATGCAATTACAGATGTCATTCCTGGAAATGAAAACTTTGCTGTAACATCAGTTTTTACTTAAAAATGCATTAATTGTGTCAGAAATCCTGTCCCAATATTCAGTACTATGGCATTTTACTCGAGGTCTTGGAAAGAGATGCAAAGTAGGGCAGTCTTTATCCCATTGTCCTCAAGGATCCTAAAAACACGGAAACAGAGGATCCAAAAAACATAGAAATAAGTAGTATAGGAGTGCATAAAATAGCCAAATGAGGGTGGATAAAGTATGATCTTTCGTAATATTGGGTTCCTAACAGTGAACTGCATTTCTTTTCCTTTATATGCTTTAAGCGTTGTTGGAATAGGAGTGGGATTGTATCGTACTTCATGTGGCCATGGAGCTGCATGTAACAACCCTGGGCTGTTGGTGTCTGCATGATTTACTGGGATCTCTTCACTGACCATCCCTTTTGCATACAGGTGTGTGATCCCAACATTATGCAAACCCGAACTCGACAAGTGCTGAGGTCTTCTGTCGGTTCAAAGCCCTGCCCTGAAGATTCACAAATGAAGCCATGCATTCTTAACCAAAATTGCTTCCAATATCAGTACAACCTAACAGGTAGGTGAAACTTTCCAATATTCCCTTACTGTGTGTTTTTAGTTATATTAGCTTGTGGTGTTGGTTAAAGCCTTGGCATTAAAAGAGCTCTGTGTAGCTCTATCATTGGTTTCACTAAAGTTAATTACATACCTACATTTTTACAGGATAGTGGACAAATGCACAATTTTTGTGTTTAAGTTGTCATTGCAGGTACCCTGGAAGTAAAGCATGTTAAATGAGATTTTCGGTGAGTTATCAACAGAATTGGTGAAACCAATAGTACCAACAGAAGGCGATATTGCAGTAGTACCAATTGAAGGCAGTATGGGTTATATGGGTGGGCATAGGATATTCAGAACAAAATGTATTATTTAGGACCTTAGAAGCAGTTGGAGCTGCTGCAAACAAACAAACAAAACAAAACAGGAATAATTCCTTTTGTTTTGACCAGCTCAAATAAATGAGAAAGACATAGACAGAGATCTAAGAGAATTTCGGGGGCTGGTGGGAAGGAAGAACAAAGCAAGATAAAATATGTGAATATAAACTCAGCCTGTTTGTAATAAAAGCCCTAGAAACACAGGCAGGAGGACGATGCCTTTTTTATCATCACATTTCAGAAATGCAGAACATTTATGTGTTCATGTTTATCAGAGGTAGAAGACACAAAGTAATAGGTTTTTTTCTCATCCTTCTTATTTATTGGTGGTGTATGGAAATGTTAGTTGCTTGTATTGTGGCTTTTTGTTTATTTTAAATGATGTTTTAAAGCTTATTTCAGTTTAGTTGTATTCTGACCAACATAATTTCAGACGTAATAAGATATTAATTTTCTTCTGCTAGAAATACTGGTTTTATTTCATGAGTATTAGAGTTTAGTTTTAAATAATGAATGGCTTTGCCTTGAGACAAAAACAGGTTAAACCAGAGTCCCCCTTCAGAAATTTCCCCAGCTGCTTTATCAAAGTTAAATTTTGCTTCAGACAATACAGTCTTGTAAGTGTGCCAGCTGGATTGAACTGATACCCTTTATCAGTCTTCAACATGTGCACTCGGATGCTCCAGTTTCGTAAGGGGATACAGTATCAGAGTGCAAAGTGAGTGGTTCCTCCTCTGAGACTTGCCTGGTTTTAAGAGCAACATCCTTTTGTGAGGATCGTTCTAGGGTTTGGGATGCCCTGACTTGGGGAAGTGCTGCCTTAGGTAAAGACACTTGTTTAAGGCTTCAACGCCAGGCTGGATGGGGCTTTGAGGAACCTGGTTTAGTGGAAGCTGTCCCTGCCCACAGCGGGGGGGATGGAACGAGATGATCTTTGAGGTCCCTTCCAACACAAACCATTCTGTGATCTGTGAGTCTGTGTTAAGGGAAAAGGTGACCTGCAGCAGTGCACCCTTTGCTTTGTGTCTGCAGGCTGGAGCGGGTGCCAGCTGGGTGCCAATGCCACGTGTGGACACGGGGAGCGGCGCCGACTCCTGAGCTGCCGGCGCAGCGACGGAGCCACTGTCAGCATGCAGTTCTGCCAGAGGGTGAGCAGGGCTGGGAAACATCCAGAGGCTCACTGTGCTTCCAGAAAGCTGGTGATGCCTTCTGATCCACACCGAGATGTCGTCCATAAATGGTGGAAATGTGTTCAGTGTTTAGTGCTGGGGGCACAGCCGCTGGGTGCTTTGGGGGACAAAGGCATCCATGGGGTGTTTGAGTGGGTGGTGTCACCCCTTGACTCGAATGCTCGTTGCATATTTATCAACCCTGCACCATTCCAGTGGTTTCAAGAAAGCTTGTGACTAGGGAGATTGTGTCCTACTACGAAAAGTTTGGGGTTGTCCTTTTGGAGTAAGATCCAGAGACTGAGGGATGCTGTCATAGTTTAACCCCAGTCAGTGATCAAGAACCACAAAGCCACTTGCTCACTTCCCCAACAGTGAGCTGAGGGAGAGAATGGAAGGGTACAAGCTGGAGAACTTGTGGGTTGAGATAAAGACAGTTTAATAGGAAAAGCAAAAGCTGCACACCTAAGCAAAGTAAAATAGAATTAATTCACTGCTTCCCATGGGCAGGGAGGTGTTCCTTCAGGACAGCAGGACCCCATCACTATGGTTACTTAGGAGGACAAACACCATCACTCCAAACATCCCCCTTTCTTCCTTCTTTCCCCAGCTTTATATACTGAGCATGATATTGTATGGTATGGAATATGTCTTTGGTCAGGTGGAGTCACCTGTCGTAGCTTTGTCTCCTCCCAACCACCCAGTGGGACAGTATTAAAAGCAGAAAAGGCCTTGACTCTATGTGAATCCTGTTCAACAATAACAAAAACTGTTATCATCACTGTGTTCAGCACAAATTCAAAACACAGCCCCATACCAGCCACTGGGAAGAAAATTTACTCTCCCCCAGCCAAAATCAGCACAGATGCTTAGATGTAAAATGAAACTGCTTAAACCAGTTGCACCCTGGAGAAAGTTCCCCTATGATGGAGTCACTGCCAGTTTTCGTTGGGGTGCTTGGCTGTGGCAGGAGGTGTCTGGGGCCTGGGGAAGCTGATGCCTGTGTTTCCTTGTCCCCTCACAGCTCCGCCTGGAGAAGCCCGTGCAGACGAGCAGCCGGTGTGTGGTGGGATGTGCAGTGGACTGCCAGCTCTCCCCGTGGTCGGCCTGGTCCCAGTGCTCCCACACATGTGGCTCTGGTGGTGAGTCCCTGCCTGTCCTCCTGCCTCTCACATCTCAGCAATGCAGCACAAAAAGTACCCCCAGCCTCAGGCAGTCTGCTCAGGCAGTCCTTGAGCAGGGGTGCAGAGCTCAGGGATAGCCCCAAAACCACACTGAATCTGTTAGAGGTAATCTTGGACACTCTCAGGGTCCTGAGGTCTTGGGTGTTATGAACAAAGTGGGCTATTTCCAAAGTACTCTAAAGGGAAAAATGCAACTTAGCAAGCAGGTATTCAGATGCCTAGAGGATTATTTATTAATTAATTCAAACTCTCAGAATTCAGCCATAGCAAACGTTAAACCCTGAGACAGGGAGTATGTAGAGCTACCGAAGAGCTGGGGAGTGTTACAGTAATCTTAAAAGATAAATAAATAAATGGGAACCCTCTGGTGAAGTAACTTGTCACATAATTGAATCCCATTGAAGAAAACACACAAAAACTATTTGTCATCATTTAATAAATGCCTCTGTCTCCATCCTGTATCCACAGGTCCCTTAATACTTGTATGACCCCGGTAACTTCAGCAAGATTTTCTGTAGCCAGTAATGCTCACCAGCATACAAAAAGTGAAAGGATTAGGACCTTTTTCAACTTATAGGATGTAAAAAACCCCTTGAGTATTGACATGAGGAAATGCATTGAAGGTTTTATTCAAAATAAGCTTGATACATTATTTCCCAGGCTTCTGATGTGCATGAGATGTACAGCTAATGGTCTTTAAGATTCAAGAGCCATAATGTGTATTTGAAGCAAATTTACTTAAGGTCAAAAAGAAAAAAGCTCTTAACTTCCATAAAGTGATTCCTTCAGATGGATTCCAGAGATCAAAGCATGTTACAGAAAAAGCTTAATATTTGGATTAGTGCTGTTCTTCCTTTGCTGAGCTTTTAGCCCGTTTGTGAAGTAGTGCTTTCTTAACAGAAATGAATAATTCATGGACAGTGTTTTAACAACAACACACTGGGAGTACTATTAATTCCAAATTTTATTTTTTCTTCAAAATCCATTTTGCAGTGTTAATGCTCATGTTGCTGAATAAACTTAAATTAATTTTTTGAGTGTTCAATCACTTGCTAAATTAAACAGAGTACAGTGCAAAAGCAGGTTGTAACTTTTTTATGACTTTTAGCATTCTCAAGGAGCTAAAACTCTATATAATGCCTAAAGGCTTTTTCATCCTGAGCTCTTCTATTGCATAGTTTGAAAAAGGATGTGCTTGAGTGAAGTTGTGTCTTGTATTTTGAACCTGATCCTGAAACGCTTGTGCCAGTTCTGAAGACTGGTTAAAGAGCTGATGGCTACCAGTGCATGCAAGGGGTTACTTCATGTCCTAAATCAAAGGAAAGCTGGGAACATTGTTCCCTGCCAAAGCAGACCTTCAAGCCAGTGTCCTCAAGTGTGTCCTGGCTGCAAGTGCCAAACCACACTGAGGCTGCTTGAACCACACAGTCACACCCAAGCTCAGCTCAGTCATCTGCTGGTCTTCAAAGATCGTAACTGTGTTACATTGCTGGCTAGAGAGCTGTCTTGTAGTTTTACATGGATTTTAAAGCTGGAGGTAACTGTTTTGTGAACCTACAGCAGCTAAGCAGTTGGGAAGACTGTCCTAAAAACTGTATCATAAAGAAGCCAAGTTTTGCTGGGCCTTCCCTGCCATTTGAATAGCTTTGCAGGGACCCAAGAGTCTTCTGAATCTTATGCCAAAGCATCAGTGAAACAGAAGTGTTTTGCATCCAAGTTGTTCCAGCACATGGTTTATTTTCCTGCATCCTCAGTGCTGATCTGACTTTTGCTGCAGCAGCCCTGAAGTGTGGAGCTACCCTGATATCAAACATCCATGATGGAGAGACCTTGGCACCAGTCCTGTGGCTGTGGCCCTTGTGTGGTTCCAGCAGCACAAACACCATTTCAGCTTCTTCACCGAGTTCCAGTTGGTTATAAATACTACTTGATGATGGCATTAACAGAGAGGACATTAATTATGCACTTATCTGTAGGTGGTGCTTCACAGATGAATACAGTGAGCGTTTCCTACCGGAAAGTTCATGGACAGCAACACCTTTGAAATCATCGAGAGTTTCTCACAGGCATCTATGTGAATAGGATGAAACCTCAAATTAGACAGGAAAAAACAAAGGATGACAATAAACGAGCTGTGGGAATTAGCTGTAGTAAACACTCGTACTGCTTCTCTCTGCCAATAGATAATTGCCCACTGTTTGGTACAGCTGAAATGAAGGACTTAGATGCTTGGTGTTCAAAAATAATTCACAGCAAGTTGAATACACCATTACTGGATCTACTCACAACAATATTTTGCTTTTCTGTCTTTTCTTGGAGAGCGTGTGAAGGGCCTGCAGAAGCACCGTCAAGGACTTCAAAGAGAAACATAATTTAAATACAATTCAGATCAAAATGTAATGTTGCTGGATTTGTGTTTTCCTGCGTTTTTTTAATCTAGCATTGTTGCTAACATTTGTATTCTGTCGATCTCTTCCAGTAACAGTTTGCTGTGATATATTTTAATGAATGGCCCCTTTCTCTTGTGCAGGTTTCATTTTGTGGAGTAATGCATTTAAACATGAAGTGGTGCTGCTGTGCACGTGGCACTGACATCTAGTACAGTTCTGGTATACAGCAGCCAAAGGCGAATATATTGATTTTTATAAATGATGATGAGTAAAGTAGATCTCTCTTTCCTGCCTGCACTGAGCCTACAGAGATGTGTAATGGATATTTGCTTGTTGCAGCTGTAGTTCTGGGCAGCATCTGTTCAGGATGCTGGCTAGGGCTTTAGGCTGACATTGGGTTATATATAAGGGTCCCTCATATCTGTTGCTGTACTGCTATGAAAAGATGTATAGTACTGCCTTAATGGATGAGGCTTTCATGGCCTGAATCAAAGTTACTTGGAAGGATGTTTGGTAAGACTAATCCCAAACAAATTGAATTTCCTTTTGTTAAGGCAAAGAAATACATGAGGATGCTGAATTTTTCTATGTAAACATTTTCCAATCCCATATGATTTCTCTCAAGTTCTCTAACAGGAGTGCTGAATTTATAAAACCCCCTGAACTTGCGCTTTGCCACTTGCAAAGCTGACTTTATCAGATGAATTGTGGGATTTACCTGAGTTACCCAGGGCTGAACACGCTGCTGTGTCTTGCTCAGTCCTCAGAGCCCAGAGGGTTGCAGAGATGGGCATCCCAACACCAGAATGACCCGTGGGATAGAAACGAGGGGGAACAAGGGTGTGCACAACGGAAAAATTTCGTGGTTATACTCTTCCCTGTTTCATCACCAGTTTGGGAAAACATTTGTGGTGTTGCCTTCTGAAGAAGAACTTCTTGTGATACTCTCTTGCTTGCTACTCAAGCTTGGCAAGGTCCGGTCTGACAGAGGTGGGAAATGCTGCTGGAAGAGGGGCCGCCAAGAGCTCTCCCTGAGCCTCCTGGAGGGACTGGCAGTGGGAAGTGGATGAAAAACCCTGTTTATCACCTTGTGATTGGACCTACCCTGACCTCCAGGGCTTATTTAAGTAACCTGATCCCCAGTCTGGTCTCAGGGTTTCGTGGTAGAGCTGTGTTTTATGTGCTCTGCTCACACTCAGCAAACCGGTTACAACATGCTGGTCATTTTGATTGGGGTGAACTGTAGCAGGAATTTTAATCAACTTGGTTTCAGCCATGACACATCACTTTGTGGGCATAAAATGCAAGGCATGGCAGGAATTTTTTTGGGGGAGTAAAAAAAATCTCATTATTCTGATCTGAAAATATAATCCTGTTTCTGAGATGAAATTCTGGCTGCTGACACAAAATAGAATTTTAAGAGCCCATCATTAACAAGACCAACCTCTTTCAAAATTGAACAAATGAAGAAATACTCATTTTCAATTTTCAGCCCTCTTTCTGTCTTAATTTTTGTATCATTTAATACTGCAGAGCAGAGGAATCAGAGATGTGGCCAATTCATTGAGAAATTACAAGAAAAATTCACTGGGAAATTAAAGAAGCAACTAAGATTGCTTCAACTCTTGCAGAGTTTGTATGGGAAGAAAATTAATTTCAGATGCAGTAAGATTCTCTTCTACATAGGCAGCAAAAGATAAGGTATTTAAAAAGAAAAACCAGGGAGTTTTTCTGCTGCTTGAGTGGTAATTGAGCACCTAGATACTGTTTGTGGAGTGGAAAAAAAATCAGAGCTTTAAGAAACTCACTGCAGTCATTGTGCAAAGAAAGGTTTCAATGAAATGCCTTTCTTCAGTGATTTATTCACAGTGTAAAAAGAAAGTGATAGACTAAATGGGTCAAGCCCCAGCTGACCACTGGGACTGTAGTGAGTTTCAATAGTTTGGTTAACCAACTGCAAGAAACCAAAATGGAAATAAATACAGAAAGGCTGTTAATTCCTTTTAAAAGGAAAACAGTGTTTTCTATTGAATGATCTTCCCATTTACGTTTTGCTAGAAACACGTTAAACAGAGTGTACGAAAGGAAATTATTTTGTTAATTAAAATAGCTTGATGAATGCTTCAGGCTCTCAAGTCCCTCCTAAGGAAATTGGATCTTTTAACCTTAGGAGACCTCCTTTTCTGTAGCTCCATGTGGGGAAGTGGTGCCTGGCAGGGCTGCAGAGATCCCTGGCCAGAGAAGCTGCATGTCCCAGAGTGTCCCCAGAACCCTGCAGCCATGGGCTTCCCACCATTCCCAAAGAACTTTTTTTTCCATGGGTCACCAGTCCTCAGCATTCAGCATTAAGAAGAATTTGGCAAATCTGATGTCTGGCTGGAGGGGAAGGAACAGCTAATTTTGTCCTGCTGGGCCAGGGAGGGTTGCTGTGAGATTCGTCAACAGCAGGCTGGGATGTTTCTCTTCCCTTGCTCTGACTCCCCAGTGAACTGCAGGAGTTTCCTTCCTTTCCTTTCCTCTCAGCTGGTAGAAATTTTTTCACCTTCTAATGTATCTGATTCCGTGACGGCTGAATGCACAGTCATGTGGATAAGAGCTTTTATCATCACTTCTGTTACAAACTCCCCAGGTCTAGGGGATTACAATTGGAAAAGGAAGAAGTCTTAAAATTGGTTTAAATGGGTTTAAAAATGGAATTCAATGGGTCAGAGCAAGGGAATAGCATTGTAAAGGTAAGATAGCTTGCTAAGGTATCCCATCAGTACCTTTTTCAGGCGTGTCTGCTTTTCATTTTTATTTACTGAAATGTTTTTGGAAACCCTGCTCTTTACGTGGTGCCAATGACAGTTATTAGAGATGTGCCTTACACCTGCAATATTTTTAATTAAAAAGGATGTGCACAAATAGCTGGGAGAAGGATCTGGCTGGATATTGCAGCCTCCCTGTTTTGCAGGGTGTTTGCTCCCCCTACACTCCCCTCTGCTCACAAAAGCAGCCGAAGGGCTGTGATCCAAATGGGAGAGCCCCACCACAACACCTTATCTCTTCCTTTTTTCTGGGTGAGCAATTACCACTCGCCTCTGCCTTCTTCTCTCTGTCTGCCCTTAATGCCCAGACCTTTTAGTTTTTAACTCAAATCCACACATATTGAAAGACAAGGCAGAAATTTTTTGTCCAGCACAATCTTCTGCATTCTATTGCATAAGGGCTTTTTCTTTTCTACTTTTCTTTTTTAATTGGAGCCAGAATTCTAATTGAAACATTTTGAGTGAAAACATTCCTGGACATAAATGGACAGCAAAGGAGACGGAAATGGAATTGCTGTAACTTTAATGAATATATTCAGTTTTATTAGTTCAAAAGTAGTAACATAATTGCTTTTTCCATTCAGTGGCTGAAGAAGTTTTCACCAATAATAAATAGGATTTTAATGGAAATGGTAGAAGTGGTTATGGATGGTAATAGCCACTACAGTGTTTGCAGTTTTCAAATTAGGTCCACATAATTGCTCATAAAAAGAAAATTTCATTTGTTAAAAATCTCTGGAAACATATTGAATACGTAGTGGTAGAAATGCTGCTGCCGTAGGAATTATTTTCTTGTCATATTTAATAATCAGGATTTAGTCAAGTATTTAAATGTGCTGCATAAACAAACACTATATTTGGAAAACACACAAAACCATGTTTTAAAAAGTGTGCTTGAAAGTATTAGTGGCTGCATTTCTTAGACTTAGAAATCACATCCGTATTAGTCACTCTTCCCAATTGACTGCTTTTTGAGCAGATTTTAGTGGTGGGAAATGAGCTGGGAATGCTGATAAATTACAAAACCTGTCTTTCTTTCTCCCCCTGTCTGTCCTTCACCGTGTGTGTGTTCTCCCCCCGCCTAGGCCAGATGGTGCGTGGGCGCTCGGTGGTCCTGCGGGCAGCGGGCGAGGGCCGGCCCTGCCCGGAGCAGCTCACCCAGCACAGAAGCTGCCCGGTGAAGCCCTGCTACAACTGGCTCCTGGGGCCGTGGTCTCCCTGCAGAGTCCAGGTATGGCTTTCTCTGGTGCTCCCCGAGGGCTCCAGGGGCTCCCCGTGCCTGGGATCGACCGCAAAACCCATCGTGACATTGCGGGGTTAACTGGGGCTACTGTTCACTGTCTCTGTGGCTGGTGACGGTGCTGATAAGATCCACGGGGAAGCGGGGGAAGTTCAGGAGCGGTAAGTCTCTGCACCTCATCTTCCAACCATCAGCAACCCTTCATAGATAGCAATATGGGTTCAAGTATCATAAGAAGCTTTTAGAGCTATTGAAAGGGATTTATGGAGTGAATGTGTTTGAGTGGGCACAGACGTGATGACCTATAGTTTAATTATATAAAATAACTCTAGGAAGAAAATAGATGCACTAGATATCAAGAGAGCTTAGCCTTTTTTATCTTTTTTATTTCCTTTTTTTAAAAAGTACTGTATAGCAGGTTTTCCCCCCCACCAGGTCTCCAGTACAGTAGTGCAAGTTCTTTTATTCGGGGCTAGTTTCTACTTTTTCCTTACCCTGGCTATCTTTTTAATGATCTAAAAATGTCTGGATTCAGTTCTGATGTGCTGTCCCTGCACTTGGCACCTCTACACAGCACCGGAGCCATCATTTTTTCACTGTCAGTGACTTGCATCAGGCTTGAATTGACTTTTTCTTCCCCTCTGTGCTTTTTCTTCTCTCTTTATCTGTTAGATCGCATTTCCAATATTAAAACATATTAGTTGGTAACCCAGTTTAAGCAGAGGTGAATCTTTCACAGTGAGGTTTATCAGACTGCTTAAATCTGGCTTTGCTGAAATGGAGGTGAGAGAAGTGTGGTTGAGTGGAAAAGTGCCTTGTCTGGTCCCAGGGGACAGGACCTGTGCCAGATCTGTGCCTGCTTCTCCACATTATACCATGTAAGAGATTGAGGCCAATAATGGACATAAAGACACACATGCCTTGTGTTTTCTGCTCTGCCCCCTCCCACACTGCAAATGCCTTGAATACCTGTGTGGTGTCTAGATGTGGTGGACAGATAATGTAGTGAATATGTGAGTGGCACAATAAATACCTGGAATTTTCCCATGTTTTCACACATGAAATCTGGAGTGTGACAGTCTTTGGACAGTCCAAGATCAGAGAAACAGAAATATATTTGTATTTTCTATAATCAGGTCGTTGCAACTAAAGACGGGAATGTGGTCCTTGTATGTGCTGCATTCAGTATTTATTTATGTATAACATAAATACAACAAAATGATAGCATCATCTGATAGCTAATGTAAGCAAATCCTATTAAACATCAGGGAACAGACCTTCAGCCATAGAAGCTAACATAGCTGATAAAAGAATTAGTAGGGAAGCTGAATTAAAGCCCTGGCTCGCTCCAGATAAATAACACATTGTGCAGATTAAAAGTGAGCTCGTCCAGAACCCAGCTAAATTTCAGCTCAGAGCAAATAATCACAGCCTCCCCTCACCCAGATATCATCCCCGCATTCAGTGAGATAGAGCCTACTTCTCTCCTTAAATTACCACTGTGTAGTTTCTCTACCCTTTGCTTTGTTTTGGAGAGGAGCCATTCTATTCATGTTCGCTTCTCTTTAATGAGGTGCTTAGGAATTAAATGTAGTTCATAAATACCGGGTGATTTATTCCTGGAAAAGAAGCTTAAGCCTGCGTTCTAAAGAAAGCGTTTAGAAGTCCTGTTTTCAAGGATGCTTTGTGAAATAAGGTAAATGCTCCTATGGTAAGACCAAAATGCATAGTGTGAAGGTGCCTTCCTGTAATAATAGAAGCGGGACAACTAATTATAAGGCCAAAATATTTTTTCCTTGTATTATGAGATAACTGAAACTGCATTTCCTAGTTGTAGAAGGACTATTTCATGTTAAATTGACTTCATGTGAATAATTAGAAGTGTCTGCATGTTTAGGAATAGAACCTGCTGTACGCATTCTGCGTTGTTGATTGTCACAGTGTGGAAATCAGTGCGTTGTTCTCCAAGTAATTACACATGTCCCAGCCACGCCTGCTGGTGGCATGGAGCATTTCTGCTGTGTTCAAAGGGATGCAGAATTTGGGAACTGGTCAATATGCCCAATCTTATAAGGATTACAGGACATTAATCATTATCTTCCTAGAGCTGAAGTGGTTTACCTTCATAAGCTTAAAAAAGAATTTTAGCAGTGGTTGACACTGTTGATAATTTTTTCCATTAAAGGGATGTAAGTGAAGTAGCTTAGGTATTATCAAACATCAGCTGGCTGACATTCCTAAGCAGACTAAAAACCTTTCTTTTCTAATGTGTTTTAAAAGCACTCCCTTAAATGTGATCATGCAATGTTCCCTCATTAGAGAAGACTTTTACCTGATTAAATGTTTATCAACCTGTGAAAGCATTTGCCCGATCAACTCTTTACCTAAAATAATTGTGAACACACGAACCCCAGTTAAAGCCGAAAAGGGAGAAATTTTCTTAAAGGCACATCTGGGCAAGGCATCTTATTGGGGATGTTATCTCCTGTCTTATTAGTGTGTTATATGTGGGTGATGTGGGAGGTCTGTGGAGATGCTGCCTTACATTGGTGTGTCGCTGAATTCCAGAGGTACCTGGCTGTCAAACACGCTCCTGGTATAAACCTTTTCCTTATTTTACCAGTGGTACAAGGGGTAGGCTCCATGCAGGTGCTAGTGGAGGGGCGTGTATGTCCAGGCTTTATTTAGGGAATCCAGGATGGGTTCTCCATCCTCTGTAGGGTCAGCATAGAAATTTTTGCAGCCAAATGACAGGAATCCCCCCTGGAAAGCAAATTCTCGTGTATTTCCAGCAAGGAGATCATAACTCAGGAGGCAAATCCTGGTCCTAGGCAAACCTCAGAGGATCACACCTTCCAAGGAAGAGCATTTACAATACAGATTTGTTCTCCTGAGTTTTGAATATGTGATGGTTTCCTTGGCAGTTCTCTGATTAGCAGCTAATCCCTGCATCTTCAGTGTGCCATTGCTGCCATGAACTTCCTCTGGTTCCACAATTATTAATTAAAACTTCAGATGTATAATTTTGGGGACATGAATAATTTTGAAGATGATAAGGAAGTTAAGGCAGTGCTCCTGCATTGCTTAGGACTTTTCCAAATATACCAAAAAGGATCTCCTACTGTAAGTGACAGGGTCACATTTTAAGTGTGTTCAATTAAGGTCTTGAAAGAAAGCAGGCAAATGGAAGCCACTGTTGAAAAGCAAACCTTGATCTTTGGGATTGGTTAAAAGTTTATATTTATTTTTCGTTCTTAACATTGAAATATGAACGTAGTTCCAATGTTGAGGGATATAAAAATGAAGAGTGTTGCACGTGGACTTTTATAGGAGAGACTGTTTTACTGAAAAAATATTTATTTATATATCTATTTATATCTCAGTATTCTTATTACTGTTTATATATTGGTATGTATATAAATATATATTGTTTATAGAAGAAGAAGACTATTTTTGAAAACATATGTTGTCCTCTCCAGTCATTCAGTCACTCTTTGAGCCACTTTGAACTGGAAATGCTGTAGTTTGATTAGTGCCCATTTCCCCCAAGAATTTTCTCACATCTTCTTCTGTTTCCACCAGCCATTTCTAAGCACTCCAGCTCAATTGACAGCTGCATGAGTTATTCACACACCATTAATCTCAGACCACAATAGAGGCTTCAGTGGTGAAACAGTAATTTAGAACAGTAAGTTACATCCTGACTAAAGTGAAACATGGTGTTAAAAGCTTGGAATCTGGCTGCATATAGTAAATCTAATCTCTAAGATGCTTTTGATTAGCAACCTCTCTAAATCCAGGTAGTTATGCTCCTATTTCCATTTCATTCTGAGTCTGCAACAGAAGGGATGGAGACAGTGAAAAGTAGCCAAGTGTGTGCAGGAGAGCTGTTCTTGAGATTCCTGCTATCAAACCTGCTGCTGAGTGAATGCACTCAGTGGGAGCCATTCTGTTCTGCAGATGAAGTCCATTATTTTAAGAAAATCCACTGCCAAGAAATCCAAAGGAGCACATCCCTCGGTTATATAAAAGCAATGCTTCTTCCTTCTTCTTGAGTTTTGTTTACTGAATTTTGTTAAGTGCCATTTCCTCAAGGCTTCAGGTGCACATTCTTAGGCATCATGCAGGTTTAAGGCTTCCACCTCAACAGCGTTGCAGCTCTGTTTATCAGATGAGAAGGAGACAATGCCAGCCCCTAGAAATAGCCTCAACACTTCAGCTCTTGCAGCATCCTCAGCCCTTGACAATAGCTTTAGCCACACAGTATTGATTTTGCAGTAAAGGAAGTCATCTTCAGCAAGCAGTTTGGTATATGACTAAGTATTTCAGAACTGGGCTGGATGAGCATGGAGTGGCTCAGATGGAGCCTCCTTTTGCCTCTTCAAATGGGGTTCAGTGCTGACAGGTGATGGCTGGCTTGGGTTGATGTTTTGGTGGAGTGTGTGCCTCGAGTTGGTGATGTCGTGTCTGCTCCAGAAGTGGTCTCTCCCTTTAGAACATTACACAGCCAGCCTAATGCACAATAACCCTGGCAACCCACTTAACTGTGCTGGAGGATTTTTGCTGTTTCAGGGTTTAAACCATATAAGTGCTCTTCTTGGTCTGCATCGTCAAAGGAGGGTAGAGGAAATGTCCCTTCCTTATGAGCAGGTTCCGCTCTTGGTTCTTCTTTAGAGAAGCAAAAAATTTTTGTGTTCATGTAACTGGGCACTAATTAAGAATCAGGAAATTCACTAGCTCGAGTAAAAGGCATGAAGGGCTGGCTGACCCCAAAGATGATATTAATCCTGTATGGTACCCACCTCTTCCCCAGCTTGGGTTACATTCCCCACACTTTTCTGTCTGGCTCTGCCCCTGCTTCTGAGCTTCTGTAGAGATGTGTACAGAGATTCTCATAAGTATTGCAGGGGATACTGTTGACGTCCGAAGACCAACTTTTTATCTTTGAACACATTTGAAGTGGAATCAGATGTGTTTCTTCTGTCACCTGCTAACGTCAGTGATGTGTGCCTCTGTTCCCTGTTACTTTACAGGGTGGACAGTGTGGAGATGGATTGCAAGTCCGCAACCTCACATGTGTAGTGCACGATGCATCTGTTTCTGCTACATCCAAACCAGTAGAAAATGCATTATGTGGTGAGCTGCCGTCGAAAGAGAGTGTCCTGCAGTTACCCTGCTCTGTGCCTTGCCCAGGTAAAGTCTTTGGGAGGTCACAGTGCATTCCTGCCTGTGATAGCTGTCTGAGGTGGACGTGCTCCCATAGCTCTGAGTGCTGTCAGCTGCTGTAGTAAGAATTTGTGCTTCAGCAGATCAGGAAAATGCTCAGTCTGCTGTTTCTGGACCAACTGAAAAAGACTTCCTTTGTTTTTTGAGAAAATGAGATTCCCCATGAAGCAGAAAATCCAAATATTGCATACCTCTGGATGACATACCTGGGATATTTCACTGTTAAAGCTGTTGTATGCTTAGGTTGTCCTTGTCCTTCAAGGCTGATTCTTTTTGCAAACCTGTGATTTATTCTTTCAATGTGCAGGTGACTGCCACCTGACAGAGTGGTCAGAGTGGAGCTCCTGTGAGCTCACCTGCATTAATGGCAGGAGCTTTGAGACAACGGGGCGCCAGTCCCGATCCCGGGCGCTCATCGTTCAGTCTCCGGAGAACCAGGAGAGCTGCTCCGGGCAAGAGATGGAAACTCGGCCTTGCTCAGGTAGCTTGGCTTCCTCCCTTTCAAAACTTCATTCTGGATTTGTTGCAAGGTGAAGACTAACTGGTGGTGATATTGCAGGAGGGAAGTGTTATGACTACCTGTGGAAAACCAGCCTTTGGCAAGACAACGTTCGCGCAGTGTGGTGTCAGCGCTCGGATGGAATGAATGTCACAGGTATTTCCCCAAATTGCCTCTCACGATTATGAATGAAATCTCCCCATCCAGACTGTTCTTTTTCTGCATCTGTTGCTCACAGGGAGTTGGACATCCTTCCTCACTCTTCCAGAATTTCAGTTTAGATTTGTGTATAGCAAAGACAGACGGGAGCTCACCAGCCTTGCTGTCAGATCAACATCACACGTATATGACATGGGAGTATCTGGGTTAGTTATCCTTAATGTTGGGCTGCTCACAAGAAGAAATGAGTGTACACATCCTAGAGGGCTGCCTGGGCTGGCTTGCAGAGCCATCAGTACAACCTTCCCGTGGAGAGTAGAGGAGAACATTGCACACGTGGTAGAGACCCCAGCTTCTGTACCTCTTCTTCCTTTCAACACACAGGGATCTCAAATCACACAAACTGCGAGGTTCCTGCTGTCACTGTAACCTACGGATTCTGCCTGTGCAGGATGAAAAGGGAAATTTATCAGAACTTTGAAGCTCCACAAGAGATTGGCAAAGCAGTAGGGCTTGCATATCCATGGGATCTCTTTCAATATGCAAAGGGTGAATGAGGAGAGAGTAGAAATGAAAATGCAGATGTTTTTATCTAGTTCTATTTATAATGACTGCTTAAGATAATAACAAAAGTCTTATGTGCAAAGGTTGCCAAGTATTTAAGAACTCATTAACATATTTTTATTCCTATAGAAGCACAGGCTTCCCCGAGTGAGGATGGGCAAAGGCGTTATGTGGATTATGTCTTCTTATGTAGATAAGACATTAATGAGGACACAGAAGATCTGCATCTAATTCCCCATTCTTTCCCTAACTTCCTATGTGGCCAGTGGCAAATTGCTTATATCTCTATATCGCTGTTCTCCATTAACAGGATGGGTATGATAATAATTCCCTGCCTTGTTAAGGCAAATTAATAATTACGATGCCAGCAGATATTATGCTAATGTGCTTAATAGACTAGTATTTAACTATATAAAATAAGTAAGCAAGCAAGCACTTCTCACACTGTGGTGATCCAAGTCAAAAAACCATGCCCTTGAAGGCATTTTCTCAGTATTTTCTTTTCCAGGAGGGTGTCCTCTTCGGACCAAACCTGCGGAAGTTCGGCACTGCAGCCCAGCGTGTAGAAAACCCTTCTCCTACTGCACACAGGTAGTTGCTTGCTGCAGATTATGGTTAGGAAATTAGCACTGTGAAATCTAATCAATTAGCATCTGGATCCTAAATGCATTCCAGGACCTAGAAAATAGTTTAGTGTGTCCGTGGTACCACCTCGAGGAAGTTGTGGGAATTTCATCCTGAGAGGAAACCATGAACTGGCACAAACGAGTCACGGAGTGTTTATGTGGTGTTACAGGTTTGGGTTTGTCCTGTGGAGGGGTTTCGGGACTCTTGGTTTAATTTTATTGGTTAAGATTTCATTCAGTGCTATTATACTGTCCCACAGAAAATGGACTGTTTAAAACTTCTGTAAAAGAGGAGATAAAAGAGTTAGTCACCTGTTTGGATCATAAGCAGGACTCTCAAACAGACATTATAAGGCAATTAGCAAAGAAAAATAATATAAAGAAGCTGTTTTAAAGTAGAAATTTATAAAATGGGAAAATTGTCAGTGGCAAGAGGAGTTTGCCACAGATTCCTGTTATTAAGCCCGTTGTGATGAAAATGTTTGTATGTTAGGCTTCTCCATGATTGCAGACTCTTTTTCAACCAATTCCCCAGATATATTTGGCTTTTTGAGCTGAAATGGTTTTGCAGGCACCAGTTCCTGGGTGGTTTGGTTTGGTTGTTGGTGGTGAAGTTGCACTTGCAGGTTGTACCTTGCGGTTTTTCGTGGTTTCCCTTTGGTGTGCGCTGTTCTGTGAGGGGGCTCTCTCTGGTTTAATGCTGAATTCCTTTTTATCTCCAGAGAGGAGTCTGCGGTTGTGAGCGAGGATATACGGAAGTAATGAGATCAAATGGTTTCCTGGATTACTGCGTGAAGGTACCAGGTTTAGAAGATAAGAAAGCCGATGTTAAGACCATTGCTGGAAAAAATAAACCTGTCAACTCAAAAATGCATGACATTTTCAAAGGATGGTCTATTCAACCTTTTAATCCAGGTGAAAAACTTAAATATGAATGGAATAAATTGTCTTTAAAACGTTTCTGTAGAAGAAAGGTACAAGCTTTGTAGATCATAACATCAGAGATTGTGTCTGGGAGCTGCAGAGCAGCCTCCCAGTTTCTGACTTGTGTGCTGTCTTTCATGCCTTTGTGCCTATACAGAGGAATCACAATCTCTTGAGAGATAGCAAAGACAGAATGAAGCAATAATGTTTTGCAAAAGTATACTCATACGTGATTTGGGGGGGATGCTTAGAACTATTATCTGATGATGTGTTTCTAGAAGGTAATATGTTTGGACTAGGAAAGATATTGATCACCAGCGCTTCAGAAGATTCGGAGCAAAAAGTGCTTAAGATTTGATTAAACAAAGCATTGGTTGTTTCTTGCCTTATTTCAAAAATATACAAAAAGAACAGGGTAGAAAGTGTAGACTTTAGAGTTTAAATATTGAAGTTATGATGTTAAAAACACCCAAAAAAAAGCAGGCAAGCTGCTGTGCCTGAGCAGCTCATCCCAGGTGGATCTTTGACATCCACAGCATAAAATCCTTCCCAGATGGAACCGTGTACTGGGTGGGCCCAGGCTGGTCCACAGGACTAGTGCTGTAGTAGTAGTTGATTCCCATTTTGACTGTTTTTTTGACGATGAATTCATCCAAACTAAATTTCTGAAATTCAAATAGGGCTTTAAAATGGGAAGCAAATGTGTCAGGTGCATCAAGTTTTACCAAAACACATTTGTTCTCCTTGTATTCTAAAGTAGTGGCAGTTCAGTCTTCCCCCTCTTCTGGTACCTGACACTGCATTTGTTTGCAATTAGTTTCTAATGAACACAAGACTTTGGAAAACATGTAACAAAAGGTTGTGTTAGGGGGATTCAGGGAGCCATAATTCTGTCTGATATATGTGATCACACTTTGAATGTTACATTTACATATTTGATCTGCATACAGTAGTTAACCTTTGCGTTGACAGTCTCTGAGCTCAGAGAACTCAGTCCAAAACCTTCTCAAGTTGTCTGGTTTTCGATCAAGCCCTTCATCCAGAAGCCCACGCAGTTCAACATCAGTTTGAGTCACAGGTTTGGGGTTAATTGCCATTTTTCAGCATCCCTGGCCTTCTGCGGGCTGTCTTACTTGGGTGTCATCTCTTCGGCTGATACCTTTGTGGGGTTAGAAAAAGGGAGGGAGGTGTAGGTGGATGCAATCCTCTGTTTTTAAATCAACATTCAGGTCTGCAGCCCTGAAAGCTTCTGATGGGCTTGACCTCAGTGCAGCATCTGGGAGCCAGCTCTCCCCCAGGGACTGTAACAGAAATAGGGACCAAGGAGCTTTTACAGAACAAGGTGTTACTTAATTTTAGGCCAGAAATGTTATAGAAACAATGCACAGGAAAGGAATAAAGGTGCTCCATGTGTGTTAAGTGTATCACCAACCCCATGGCATCCTGCAGTTAACCCTTCAGTCTGTGTGTGTGCCCTTCAGACCCCAACTGAAGGCTGGTGCTTTTCAAATCTCTCCCCTTTGTCTAACTTCGTGGCAAAATATGTAATTACTTGCCTTAAGGAGGCTCTCAGGTTCCCTAGTCTGGGGGTTTGCAATAGTTAGTGCTGGCTCCACAGGAAACCGCTGTTGCCTACGAGTTCTGCTCTTGATAGCAGGTCTGTGGTGAACGCTCCCTGTTTGGGTGGCATTTTCCACCCTGCAGCATGACAGTCCTTGGCATTTGTGTATGTCTAAGGACTTCTATCTGTCTGTGAAAGCGCATGTGCCTTTCTCCAGCTAATTTGTGATTTCCCTTCCCGTTTACAGTGTGGAACACAAATTTTATTATGATTTAATGAGGCTGATGTTTTTGTTCTTCTAAATGCTCTGCAGGAGTGCACAGAACTGATTTCAAATCAGGCTGTGTTTTTCCTCTCTTTACCACACTCTGGGAGGCCAGAGTTCAGGTACAGAAACTTTTTTTCAAGTAGAGAGGCAATTTAAATAGCATTGCTTAAATTGTCAGATGACATGGTCCAATGCCTTTCTGTTGGGGATGGAGAGCAGAGCTGCCTTCATAGCAGACATGCTGTGATGCCTTTTTGTGGCTGTGACAGTCCCTTTGCAGGACTGCTAAATGTTTCTTGGCCTTCTCCAGTTGAGAGGGCAACAAATTTCATACCTAGACTTCAGAAAAAAACCCAAACAAACCAACCCAAAGCTGACAAACAGAACTCTTCTCATGTGGGAGACAGTCTGCAAGTGTTTCAAGGAGAAGAGAAAATGTGTGAGCGGCCTTTCCACAAAGCCTGGAAGAAAACTGAGAAAGAATGGAATCTGATTAAATGCGTTTCCCTTTGAAAAAAAATTTGTGATTCAAACATAAAATGTAAACCAGGCTCAGTGATTGTCCCTCTCACATGACTGAGTTTGAAATGGCCTCTGTCAAACCGTGTCTATGGGCACAGGTTCCTGTTCCTGCCTCCAGTGTGTATTTGCAGCTCTGTTGATGTGAATCAGCTCAGACTGCTGCTGCATGGAAAAGTACCAAACCTTCTCCCCTCAAGGAAAGCTGCACAGGCAGAAACAGAAATGTTGGTCTTTTAACAATCGTTATTATTAATGCAAAGCCCGTAATTAAGGACCTGTGCAGATAAAGTGTTCTGCTACAATAGAAGGTTGCAACAGACTCGAGCCCACGTGTGCAGGGAGGGGTTCCTCCAAGGGTCCTTGGTCACTGCAACCCAAACAGCCCAAACAAGAGCCTTACCTTGTCTTAAAGCCAGTTGTGTCTCCTGCTCCTGTGGCCCAGCCAGAAAGCTCTTTCACAACTTTATCCGTCTTAGAGTTACAAAGCCTATTCTTGTTTTTATTCTAAGCTGAATTTATTGCCATTTGTTGCCCAAGTGTTTTCCAGCTCAAAGCAGCTTGTCCACTCGTGCTCGCTGGTGTTTACCCCAGCTGACCCCCAAGTATTTATGGAGAACAGTCCCACCCCTACTCAACCTTCTTTTCTTTGAGCTAAACATGTGAGATGTTACCTCTGTCTGTCTGGGTCAGCTCAGCATTGAATTGCCTCTGCCAGAGCAGCCGCTGGGGCTCTGAAGTGAATGTACCCCAATTATCCTGCATCCCTGCTCCTTCCCGTGGGCAGGAGCCTGCCTGGGTTGTGTTTCTGTGCTGCACCTTAAGCCCAGGCTGCCTGTAATGAGCTACGGGAGCTCAGCCAGAGCAGGGTTAGGAAGTAACACTGCTTCGGAAAACTGGGATGAAGAGTTCAGTTTCAGTTTTCATTGAGGAAAATCTATGCTCCTTACCAAAGCCAGCATTTTGTCTTTTAAATGATTGATTTTTACAGAAATATCCTTTGCTATCAAAAATACGGGGTTTATGGGTTATTCCCAGCCAGTCCTTGCTGCATTTCCTATCAGTGATGCTACTAATTTCTCCTTAATTAATCTCTTGAATTTTTGTGCATTTTAGAACAATTTTTTTTTTTCTCCCCTTTTATCCCTCTGTCCTTTTTTCCTCATCTTCAACAGATGGTAAACTGAAGATGTGGGTGTATGGAGTATCGGCTGGTGGGTTCTTCATCATAGTTTTCCTGATTTTTACATCCTATCTGATGTGGTGAGTATGGCATGTATTTTGTCCTCAAATAAAAGCTAGTTTGCTTTTACTTAAACAATCCAAACTGTATCACAGCACTCTGTGTTGCAGAGATTTAATCCTCTAGGCTCTAGGAAAGGATGGAGATTGGATTACCTAAGTGCCTTCATTTGGCCCTATCTCAGAGTAATTAAAACTCCGAAATTGTAACTGTTAACAGGCAATATTTGAAGAAGTTTGGTGGCCATGCAGGGAAAGAATTCTTTTTGATCGTTTGTAGGACCTTTTATTTATTCAGTCTTCTGCTGGGATTAGAAAGGGGTTTTATTGTATTATTTAAAAAAAGATAAAGTAAAACTGAAGAAAGGCAAGGAGAATGATTGGATCGAGGAGCTGGCTTCTGCTCAAGGAAGGACTAAATAGAATAGGGGCATTCAGTTGGAAAATGATGTTTGATGTGGGAATACAATAGAGATCTATGAAATCATGAATGTAGTAGAAAAGGGTGCTAGGGAATTTTTATTTCCCACAATAAAAGAAGTAGGAGGCATCTGATGAAACGTTCGTTTAAAATAAACAAAAGATATTATTTTTCACACAGTGCATTATTACCTTGTGAGCTTCCTGCTGCTGGGGACTGTGCATGCCAGGAAGATAAATGGATTTGGAGATGGCATAACAGTTCACGGGAGATTGGGTCTCCTGGTGTTAATTGTGGTTTTCTGGATGTACACTCCAGCTCAGGAAATCCCTAAATAGGTTTTTGCAGTGAATATGTCAGGTGGAAACATGTCCTGTGTCTAAAACTGCTGTTACCAGACACTGTTAAAGGCAGGGTACCGGGTCCTGGTCTACACTGGTGTGTCACTGGTGCTGGGCTTTACTGGGAGGGGGGTTGTCTGCCCCCCTCCAGCGCAGCCATCGCACCAGGCAGGGTTGATGGGCCTGACTTGGCAGAGCTTGTTGCACTCCCTGGTCTGAATATTTGGAAAGGCAATGCCCAGGGATTTGGCCTGAACTTACAAACATTAATGGTGCAAGCTGGCCCAACCTCTCTCAGATCAGAGCAGGCAACGAGAGACTCACAACCGTGGCCTGACAGCATCATTGCCCTCTTTCATCTAACACCAGTTTATTCGCCCTCATTTTTCTATTCTTTCTCTCAGTCTCTCTCTTTGGTTAAAAGCTCAAATGATAGTGTTTGGATGCTGCTTAGGATTTGCAGCTCCCTTATTTTCCAAGCCATGTAGCTCCATTTCTCTGTGGCTTCACACTGGAGGATACAGAGGATTTTTTAAATAACATTACACACTTCTCCATCACTTGAAGGCTGGTGAGGAAATGTATTTCTCAATAATAATTATTGTTGCTTCAATACCATGCCAAAGAAAAATGAGAATGTCCCACTCCTAGACAGCTTGTGTTCCAATTTTTCTGCGAGGTGTTCCTTGTTTTGTAAGCTGTGAGAGGAGACGGGAAACAAATGTGCCTTATTTCCTCTGCAGATGAGGAGCACAGTTGGCTGCCCATTTTTGGCAGGTTGTGTGTCAGCACCACACACGTGAGAGCACACAAGGGGGGCTGTGTTAGAAGTAGTCACTGTGCAGCAGCCTCACCCAGTTACAAAATTAAATAGCCAGTGTGGGATGTTGATTTTCTTATGGAAGTCCGGGTTTTGATAATGCTTCTGAGCCTATTACAGTTTATAATTTTGTCTTCTGAAATACTTTCCTTGCAGCAAAAGAACGAAGCCGCATCAAAGCCCTCCTCCACAGCAGAAGCCTCTAACCTTGGCCTACGATGGAGACATTGACATGTAACATGTAAAAGAAATCCAAATCTAGACATCAACTGCCTTAACTGCTTTCTTTTTTGGAACTCTCCGACTTCTCAGTTTTTTGAGGAATCTCCTGATGTGTAATATACTGGGCAGAACAGAAGTATTGCAAGCTTAAAACATTGCTATTTCTTTATTAAAAAAAAAAAAAAAAAAACCAAAAAAAAAAGGAGTTAAAAATTGGATCCTGTGAAGCTTTTCTGAAGAGACCAGAAAATACAGCTCTTCCTGTTGAGCAATGGGAATTAAAAAAAAAAAAAAAAAAAAAAAAAAAAAAAAAAAAAAAAAAAAAATAAATTTAAAAAAAAAAAAAAAAAAAAAAAAAAAAAAAAAAAAAAAAACTACAGACAACAAAAGGAATTAGTTTAAAAAAAAAAAAAGGCATGACAATCCCAAGGAAAATGTGACATTTACTGTAAATGACAAGTTTGACACAGCATCATTATGCACTATATTAGTGCAGGGTACTTTATTCTTCACATACTTCAACAATGAGTTTTCTAGTGTTTACATTTCGTTCAAAGACTTTAAAACCAGATCATGTATTTTGAGAAATGCAAGGAAGAAGGAGTTGAAGTGTCTGAAGTTATCAGGTTTTTTAAAGTTTCTTCCTTCTTATCCTGTTTTCTAGTCTGGAATATGATTTTGCTTCATTTCCACCTACAGGACAGAATAAGGATTGTTATGAAAAAGCTTAGATGGTTTCTTAACCAAGAATATTTTTTAAAGAGTTGGTTAGATAGGTGTTTTAATGAATGGCTAGAGGATTTGATTGTTTAAAAAGTATTTTAAATTAAATTAAACCATGTAGATACATTATGGCAAGTTTCAATTGTTATTCAGTTTAATTAATACAAACTCTGCTTTTGTATTTAAATTTTCTTATCTGAAATATTTATAAATTCCTTTTTTTGAATTTAATTACCTGACCTCATTTAATATACATCAAACACAAATGCAGTTTGTAGAAGGTTTTGCTTTTTTAAATGTTTCAGAACCACTGAGAAGTTACATGTTGTAAAATTCTGGAAACATTTGAAGAGGGTAAGTGTTTATAATAGTGTGTGTTGCAAGTAAGAAAGTGCCATCTTGTGGTATTGACTTGTATTTATAAGCAAATAAAATGCTAAAGAGAGTGATAAAATTGCTTCTGGTATGTTGAATTAAATGTGTGTAAACAACATGCGTTATTAGTCCTTTACTGTGTCTGAGATTGGGATTGGATTCCAAACTTTTCTGGCATATTTTGTGCTGCAGTGATTAGTGAAAAACAGAGTATAGACAAGTGCAAGTCGAGAGAATAATTGCAGGTCTGGAGAAGGGTTATTTTTAACTCAATGCTGCTGCTTATTCCAATAAGCAGAAGAGAAAAAAAAAAGAATTGCTTGCAGCCCAGCACCTATGTGGTCCTTCCCAATCTGCAGTTACCTGGATCATCACAAGAGGTGGGTGTAACTGGGGCAGAAGGCATTGCTCATGTTGTTATGTTGCTATTCACAGCCTTTGTGAAGTGATTTCAAAATTACTGAGAAAATGATGGAATTGTAGATAGGTTTCCTGTCCCAGATCAGGATCCCACCCATCCAGCACTGCTCCCTCAGCATCGAATTGAGGTGTTAGTGTGTCACTAAAGCAGGGTCAGGAATGTGCTTTTCTCTTCCCTCATTAGAAAGAAAGGCTGATGGAATTGCAAGGGGAAATTTTCTCGCTTGTTTCTGGCCCTGAAGATGTTCTTCTGTCCCTGCTTCCCACCTTAGGTCTGTAACTGTTTATGGAATAAAAAGCAGGATCTAGTGTTTCCCAGTAACATTGGGGCCCTAAATCTTTTTTTAACGGTGCCCTGTACTGAACTGCTGACTAACATGTACAGAGTAACAGTTGCAAGGGGATTAATGATCTAGTGCTATTAGGAAGAACACTGCCAGATCTTAATATATTTTGTCTGTGGGATACAATGTGAGGGGAATGGTACTCTTTGCATAATGAAGGAATAAACTCAATTAAGCATGCTGTTCAACAAGGCATTGGAGTGGGAAAGTTGGTGTAATAATAGCAAAATGACAGCTACAACATGTGGTCATTGCCCTCAACATCGGGGTAAATTACAGTCCAAACTGTGATGAGGAGAAGGCTCCAGGGAGACCACAGAGCACCTGCCAGTGCCTAAAGGGGCTACAAGAGACCTGGAGAGGGACTTTGGATGAGGGCATGGAGAGACAGGACAAGGGGGAATGGTTTCAGACTGACAAAGGGCAGGGTTACATTAGCTATTAGGAAGACATGAGGGTGGTGAGGCACTGGCACAGGTTGCCCAGAGAAGTTGTGGGTGACCCATCCTTGGAAGTGTTCAAAGCCAGTTTGGATGGGGCTTGGAGCAACGTGGTCTAGTGCAGGGTGTCTCTGCTCTTGGCAGGGGATTGGAATAAGATAACCCTTAAGGCCCCTTCAGACCCAAACCATTCCATGACTCGATGATTCTACACCCAGTGCAGGAGATGTCAGCTGCACGGTCAGCTGCTCTGGGGAGGCAAGGAGCTCCAGGTGCAACACTGAAAAGCGTGTTTATATTGATGGATCTGGGGATGTGTTTCACTTTAGTGCCCTTCACCATTCTCTGTCCCCCCACCTGTGCACCTTCTGGCCGCAGGGACTGGCCACGGTTCCCAGTGGGACTGGGTGCTGCGGGTGGAACTGTGGGCTGTGCAGGGCACTGGTGCACGGGGCTGAGGGACAGTGTCTGCTGCAGAGCTATTGCAGTTCAGCAGTGCCCTCTGGGGAATGAGTGCACCTGTCTGACTTTGTAAAATGAAAAGGAGCAGCAGGGAAGGCTCGTGAGGCTGCTGTTCCAGACAGCTGCTGGCTGTGCGCTGTCTGCCGGCGCAGACATGAACCCGTGTCTGCTCCTTGTCCAGCTTGGACAGCACGGTGATTGAAATGTCATGAGGTAATTGCATGGATTTGATAATTTGGGATTGAATTAAGCTGTGAAATTGAACCGAGGAGCTGGTGGCCCTGCAGAGTCTGTGAGGCTGAGGATGCAGCATAGTGCTAGACCAGGAATCGGTTGTTTAGGCAGATACCAAGGTTACTGCTGTTTGTAAGAGCCCTGGATATCCTGCTGGGGGGGGGGGATGCCCAGCCCTCCTGTGGGAGCACTGGAGTCAATTCCTGCCATTCATTGTCCGAAGTGAGCCATGATATGGAAAAAGGATTACTCCCAGTTCTTGTCTGTTTGGTATTTCAAAACTTTGTGCTGAAGTAGCTGGTGCTGGGGGTGATGCTGTCCCCTGCTGAAGATGGGACAGAGCTCTTGATCCCATTCAGGAAGGTCATTCCAATACTCCCAGTTAGGGCACCCCATCAAGATACATTTGTGATTGTGAGTGAAGGCATCTGGGGGTGAAGAATTTGCCAAATGCCCTGGCAATTTGCCTGTGTAGATAATAACCAGGTAACAATAGTCTGCACTTTGTCATCATTTATTTCAATTCTCTTGATTACAGTGTCCAGTGCCAGGTTTTCTACTTTGGTATTACAGCTGTAAGACCTGCAACTTGTTTTTTATTTTTTTAAATGCGTGGGATATTTGCATGCACAAGTACCATGTTTATGCATGTCATTGTGCATCAACGCTTCCAGCATTGGGGCTTTTGTATGAGGTATGTAAAATCAAACTACGTTTTTCCTCCAGAAATATCCTGAAGTCTTGGGAATCTTTCCCATTCAGAGGGCAGGATCCCAACTCTGCCCCCCCCCCCCCCAGCAACCACACTACAAGTATCACTGGACCCTTGAACTTCAGGTGCTTAGAGCAAAGACTAATTTTCTTTGCTCTGGAAGCAGAGTAGTGTAAAATTTTCTACAAGAAAATGCAGCTAAAGACTTGTAAATTAGCTTGTGCTTGTATTCATATGTGTCAAAGAAGAGCCTAATTGCATAGTGTTCTTTGCTTAAGTGCACTTGCATTCATGGGCTGTTTCACTGGGAAATGAATAAATCTTAGGGGGAAAAAAAGTCTTTAGAGCACTTCTATTTTGGATTGATCTTGGTAAGTATGAAGTTATTCTTATTTGCTGCTAACATGGCATAGCTGGTTTCTTGAAAGGTTATCATAGGAATCGTTTGGATTGGAAGTGACCTTAGAGATCATCCAGTTCCAGCCCCCTTGCCATGGGCAGGGACACCTTCCACTAGACCAGATCACTCAAAACCCCATCCAACCTGGCCTTGAACTTCCAAGGTTGGGGCATCCACAAATCCTCTGACTAACCTGTGCCATTGCCACATCACCCTCACAGTGAAGAATTTCTTCCTAATCTAAATTGACCTTCTTTCAGTTTAAAGTGATTCTCTCTTGTCCCATCACTCCATGCCCTTGTCAAAGTCTCTCTCCAGCTCTCCTGTAGCCCCATTAGTACTGTAAGGGACTCTAAGGTCTCCCTGGATCCTTCTCTTCTCCAGGCTGTACAACCCCAACTCTCAGTCTGTCTCCGTAGCAGAGGTGCTTCAGCCCTCTGATCATATTTTTTCTCAATATATAACTTAATTTGCCCTTACGAGTGGAAGGAGAAATGTAGTTTAAATATGATTTGGGGTCTTGTTTTCAACTGGGAGGTGATAATGCAGAAAAAAATTATCTAACTCAGGACCTTTTGAAAGATGGATCAGGCTACCTGATGTATGAACACGCCTCAGGACAGATTATGGTTCTGTCTGGTTTAAAATGTAATTTAAATGAATTAACTTCCACATCCTACAGCTGTGACACGCACCTGTCCTGGACAGGAGCTTGATTTATGTTGCCTTTATGAGGATATATCTGAGCACAGGCTATTACGTGCCATCAATATGCATGCGTTGCTTGATTTCCCGAAGCCACGACCTGACAGGTGACTCTGTTACTGTCACTTAACCGCTGACATGACTTGTGCCACCAGCCGTGCCGTTAAGCTATTGAGATGTGACACGGCCTGATCCGTGACGCTCACGGCGGGCTGTGCCTCCTGCTCGTGTCAGGCGTGGAAGATTGAGGGGAGGCACGTGCGACTCCTCCTGGTTTTGCTGCGTCTGCAGGGAGGGGCATCCCCCTGGCTTGCAGCCGTCGGCCCTGCCCAGGGCAGCAGCACGGCTGGCACGGGATGGGTTTGGGTTGAGAGAGCTGTGAGGTCGCCTTAAAGGAGTCTGTTTCACCCACTGGATTAACTGGGACTGGAAAGGTGATTGTGAAAAAAAAAACAAGGAATTCACAGTAACTGACATTAAACAAATGGAATCACGCAGTCGTTTCTTGTCCCTTGCCTGGTAGAAATGAAAGAAGTGTCTTGCTGTGAAGTCTGATAATGAGGGACCCCACTGTCCCTTGAAACAGGTTAATATTTGTCCATGCTTTGTGCTTTGGTTATATTTACATTTGGGGAGAAAAGACTAGATTTGAATAGTTGTAATGGTAATCACGGTGATGGAATGCTTTCTGCATGAATTTTTAATGTGTACCCTTTTAGTGTACCCTTTTATCTTCCAATCTAATACAGTTTATTCATAATTTTAAATGTAAACTAATGGTAAAATGGTCACATATGAAATGTCTGAGAAAATAACCTAACTCCCCATATTCACAGTTGTTGGTAATTATGCTCATTTACTTTGATTACATGCTTTTTTACAGTCGTGTCTACCATGGACTGCAGGTGGATACATGGGTTAAAGCAATTTATGGGGTTTGTCCTGTCTGTGAAGAGATGTTTTGATGGAATGAAATATAAGATTCATTTTCCTCTGATAAGGAAGAATGTTAATTTTCTCCTCCGCTTCAGGAAAGTTCACCTTCATGTTGTGAATATTGGGGTTGTTACATGCCAATATGACATTTGGAAAAAAAATCTCTTCAAGCTTAATAACAGTGAAGAATCTTTTGACAGTACATGAGGGAAGTGGAGCACCAAGCATTCACTTTGCAGATGAGGAAGGTGGCACTCGGATTTTATATTTTTTGGGTGCAATCTGGCTCCTACCTCATGTGAGCAAGCTTCAAGTAGTTATTCTTGCAGAAATGGTTTTTCCAGGATGCTGCTGTTGCCCAGTGATCCCAGCACTGCGCAGCAGCAGGATTATTGGCCAAGGAACAATGTGGCATTTTATC